TCCAATCCTCACGAGACTCGTGCACTAGCCTCAACGATGGCCCTCCATAGCAACTGCTCTTGACCACTATCATGGAAGGTTGCTTCTGGCGTTCTGATACAGTCTTCTCTTCACATTACCAGCGAGACCTGTCTGTCACGGATGTCCAGGGACTACACCAGTTCGGACCTCTTGTACTGGCTCAGCAGCTTACATCGGCCCAACAACGCAGATGAGGGATGGTTCCGATTCGCGTTACTACTTCCTTGTATATACTGAATAAAAGTTGAACTGGATCTCAACCTTTTGTTCTCATTATATGGGTTTAAGAACTACTTCACTTGGCCTCCATACCAAGGCATCGGAATACGGACACCTAGCGTGGCCCTACAGACCTGAGGCACAATCAGTATGACGATGCAGAGGTGTTCGACATTCACGCTTACTGACCTCTACTCCACGGAGCAATTACGACAGTGAAGTGTGACACTCCCCCGAATTCCAGTGGATTTTGTTGCGTTCTGCCTTCAAAGTTGCCGTGCACATCCATTTAAACCTTGGAGATGCCGAGTTGTGTTTCTCTTTCACCCGCCTCGGTCGGTGTCTGGGGGGCCTTCTTGAAGCAGGGGCTGGCCCGATTCTAGTCGCAAGACTTTAATTACGGGGGTACCTTGTAAATCGTGGCGAGGCAAGGCTTACTTGCCGAGTTGCGTCCCTTGTCGCGTACAAGGTTGCGGCCGAACACCAAATCGCTCGGGAGTACCCATCTCCCTGGGAGTCGTTTTGTTTAGTAAGCCAAGGGGTTCCGGAGACCCCACTACAAGCATAGGAGTTGTGTGCACGCGTAACAGGCCTCCCTTGTACATCGCTATCTACGGCTTGTCATCAGTCAACACAGCTCCAAGACCAGCTGTTCGCACTGTCCAGACAGGAGGGTAATCTGCGGCCCGCCGTCCAACCGTGGGATAAGGGCAAGTTGTGAGATTGTATATTTATATACTTATCCTATCTCACACAATGGATGCCCGCCCGGCCTCCCCACTACTCAGATTACAATGTTGGCTCCAAGATGAGAATGATCATTCAAGGTAGTCACGTGGACAATTAGTGGAGCATGCTGCAAGCTTTATTAGGAACTAGGAAGCTAATTAAGGAGAGCAGCATGGAGTGCCCGGGCGAATGGACAAGGAGGCCTATGGAAAAAAAGTTGACAGTCGTCCGACTAAAAGTCGAAGCAAGAGAGAGGGGTGCAAGTCGTGAGATAGGATAAGTATATAAATATACAATTTATATTAAAATTTCTAATTTTATCCTTATCCTGACTCATACTTATTTGCTTTCTCTCTCTTCCTTCCGAGGTTCAGTAGTAAACCTCTGTCCCTATGTTCCCAAGAACAGTTATAAACTAACTCACCCCAATAGGGCCTCGCTGTCTCTTCCTGCCAAAAGTCCCAATTGACCCCAGACACTCAAGTCACTCCCTCCGTAATAATCGCCTGCTGGCACACAGTGGTCAAATAAGTTTGTTTTGTTTTTTTTTATTTCAATGTTTTTATTGTCTGAAAGTCAATGTTACTTGATTGAGGATCACCTCCAGGGTAAGGGTGACTCTTATTTGTAAGGTATGAATTCCTGCTGGTAGACAATCTGACATTTTCTAAGGAAAAAAGAAACGCATTCACACTCGCGTTCATACTCATACTGTTGCTAGTTTAAAATAAACTGCCAGCTAGACTGAACAGTGGATGATAGTATGCCCACTTTGTGTAAAATTTATTGAGTTTATTTCTGCTTGAGAAACTAATTTTCTCAATAGTTACCTGTGTTTACACACTTTCTTAAAACCATCGATGTGTAGTTTTACCCCCTGACACCGACATTTATACACAAAAAAATTTAGCCATTAATAGTAAGAGGTCAAAAACAGTATCTGTGACAGTATTAGAGTCACATCCAAGTATAACAAGGTCGACAGAGAGCTTCAGATTGAATATATGGTCACATTTCTGTGTTAACCATCCATGGAAGTTATTCCAAAATATATCTACGAATGGACACTGCCAAAACAAGCAAATGAGAGTTTCTTCACATGAAAGGATTACAGAAGGGATGGTAGGGAGGACCCTTGAGCGTATAATTCAGGATAAGTATAAAATATCAATTTTATCATAAAAATTACATATTTTGACACAGACTTATTTGCTTTTGAATTTTACAGATAGGTGGTTGGTCAGCCAAATTTTGGATTCTGATAACTGTTCAGGTAGTGTGCTTCTGACCACATATCCCCTGGGACCTCCTTCCTGGGGCTTCTGATCCTAGTCATGAGGGACCACCTTCTCTTCAAATATAAAAGAAGTAGATCTTACGATTTTGTGGATTTTGAAGAGAAACTAAAGAATACTAGATTCTACCTCATCTTAATGTCGATTCATGTGTTAAAACTAGGGCTATAGTAATAACTGCGCTGACTTAACTCGTAAGACAGGGGTGCATGGACTCTCGGCCATTGGTTATGGGACAGTAACTTGGCGTGTATAAGTCTACATGACCATAGGTGAGTATATCATCGTCTAGCTGGTATTGTCAACTGCTGAGCCACTACAAGGGGACCAAACTGATGGATGCCTGAGACGTCTTCTGTGGCAATATCTCTTAGATAATGGTTGGGAAAGACAGTCTCCAATCTCCAAAAGCATCCTTCCGTAATGGATGACAATGAGCAGTCTCCGAGTAAAGCTAATATGGATGCTAGTGCTCTGACTTCATGAGGATTGGAGGCCTTCAGTGGATCCAGTCCTGCTGCTTTGTAGGCTTATGAAATAACAGCTCTGAGCCAAAAGGAGATAGTAGTTCTGGAGACTTCTAAAGATGCAACGGGTGATGATGGGATGAAGAGTTGTTTAAAACATCTTCTTCTCGTAGCGGTCTCTTCAAATAACATCCCGGTGCTCTGACTGGACACAAGGACAGACCTTGTGTGTCTTCAGGTCCTAATATGGATGATAAAGCAGGAATGTGTCTATCCGGTTGACCTGTTAGTTGGTTCTTTGCTATAGTCCTAGATGAACTGCTGGATGAACACCCGTGTCGAATCTGGTTCGACCAAAGTCTAAGGCGTGTATCTCGGATGCTCAAGCTTCCGTAGCTAGTGTAAGGAGGAATAGATTCTTTTGAGTTAAAGGTTCATATTCATCGCTTGTAAGATGCTGGAGTACTATATTCAAGTCCCAGGCTGGTGCTCTAAACTTGGTCTGTTGATCTTCAAGTTTAAACGATCGGAGCAAAGTTCATTGTTAAAACTGAACTGATGGCCGCTAAGTAGGTCAATAAAGTAGATCCCTTCAGATGTCTAGTGGCTCTCATGTGACATAAATATTCCGCAAATTGAGGGGGTGAGGCTTTAACAGCTGAGAACCCTTTTTGTTTTGCAAATTGTTCTAAAGTGCTAAAGTGACTGCCTTTGATGTTCTATTAGAGTACCCTCGTGTTGTGAGACAGTTCATAAGACGTTCCATGCGTGTAACTGGAATCCCTGTGGATTCCAGCTGTTTGGTGAGCGGATGAATCAGATTTGGCCAGTCTGGTAGACGAATTGTGGCTCTTCGAGAATCCTTATGAGTTCTGGAAACCACGTTCTCGACGGCCAGTAATCCGCTACCAAAAGGAGTCGTAGGACTTTTGTCTGAGTTATCTTGTGTAAGACTTGGTAATAGTGTTGGAAGCGGAAACGCGTAGGTGTGTAGACCCTCCCATGATGTGGCTAGTGCATCCAAGGACCAAGCTAGTGGATCTGGAACTGGAGACACGAATGTCTCGATTTGGCAGTTGAATCTCATCGCAAAGAGATCGATTAGTAGGTGTCCTTGTTTCCGTATTAGAAGTTGAAAAGCTTCCGGATGGAGCATCCATTCTGTCAGAGACAGTTTGACTGGTCTGGACAATGCGTCAGCCAGTATTGAAATGTGCCGGGAAAGGGTCTGGCCATGATCCACAAGTTGAGACTGTCCATGAGGCGGTGTAAGCGAAATGTCAGCTCTAAAAGAAGTGCTGATCTTGTGGTGCCTTGGAGATTTATGTAAAAGGCCACAGTTGCGTTGTCTGTCCGTATCATGAGGAAGTTGTTCTGTAGATAATGAGCCCAGTGTTCTATGGCAAGTATCACTGCCTTGATTTCTAGTTGATGTGTAGCGATTTCTCCTCTGCGGACCATGTCCCTGCTGTGACTTCTGTGTTTAGATGTGCTCCCCATCCTTGTTGTGAGGCGTCTACATAAAGATGTAAATCGTATGCCTGCTCTTGTAAATAGGTTCTTCCGCAAACGTTGAACTTGACTGTTCACCATAAAGGATATTTCCTAAGGTGGCATGGTAGAGGAATCTTGATCTGGATTGTTGAGATAAGGTTTGAGGAACCTCTGGTTGGGTTGGAGCTGTAATCTGCCTCTGTGCGTAAGCGCTTGAGCTGAAACCATCAGGCCTAATAATTCCTGCCAAGCTTTGATTGGTAGAGCCGAATTGAGAGCGAGTGGAAGACACAAGGTTGAATTTTTAACCATCGGTTTTCTCGAACTGTTATACGGGGTGGTGGGGTAGCCTAGTGGTTAAAGCGTTGGCTCCCCACGCCGGAGACACGGGTTCGAATCCCCACATGGGTACAATGTGTGAAGCCAATTTCTGGTGTCCCCCGCCGTGATGTTGCTGGAATATTGCTAAAAGCGCCGTAAAACCAAACTCAGTCAGTCAGTCGAACTGTTATACAGTTCTCCACTGTGAGGAATCTGATTCCTAGGAATTTGAGGTCCTGCGAGGGTTCTATTTCTGACTTCATGAGTTTTACTAGCCAGCCTAGCTGTCAGTAACTGAATCATTAAGTTCAGCTGTTGTCTGAGTAGATCTGCAATTTAATGAGCCTGTATACCGTCGTCGTGGTAGAAGGCACTGCGTATCCCTCGTAAATGAAGATATGCCACTATGAGCTTGGTTATATGTGTAAGTAGCCATGGGGCCGAAGAAATTCCAAAGAGGAGCACCCTCCATTGTTAATGTACTCCTTGGTACAGAAACCGCCGATATTTACTTGAGACTGGATTTATAGGGATATGTAAGCCTCTTGCAGGTCTTTGTTGGCCAAATAATTGTTTGGTTTTATCAGAAATCTGAGTTCTGATAGATAGACCATCTTGAACTTTCGGGTTTCAGCAGATAAAGGAGATTGAACTGTTACTTGTTGTATATAAGTGGGATTATTTCCTTGGAGTTCTTTTTCGGTACTAGGAAAATTGGTGAGTAATAACCTGGGTTCGGTTGATCTGGTTCTACCATCTCCACAGCGTCTTTCACTAATAGTGGCTTCTGACAGTTCCAGTCGTTGTGACTGCAGGTAATTTATGACTGGTGGAGACATTGTAAGAGGAGGTGTAGCCTTTAGTTGGATGCAATAACCTTCTCGTAGAACTTGAGAGACGTACGGGTCTTGAAGTATTCCCGAATTTTCCCAGTAGTGGTTGAGATATCCACCCACCATTGAGGGTTGTACAGGAACACTGGGTGGAAGACCCCAGTCGTTCTGACCCTGAGCATCAACGATGAGTGCGGAAGCTTCCTTAGGATCTACATCTGGAAGAATGGCCTCCGTTATCCGTTGGCTTGTGAAAATGAGCTCTAGATAAATGTGACTGAAAGTTCTTCTTCTCCTTAGCTCTCTGGATTCCTGAGAATCGGGAACGGAACTGTGTTTTCTGTGAAGTTTGTTTATACATTGAGTTCACTGTTTGGACAGATTTGATGAGCATTTGATCCTTAGAATCCTGTGTGTGGTTTGCGTAAGAGGGGTTTTGTGTAAAGATCTGAACAATTACAAGATGATAAGAGCCCTTGATGTCGCATTAGAGTGAGATGCTAAGTGATTGGAGATAAATTCCTTATCTCGCTTCTGTGCGGTCATAACAGATAAAAACATGCATTCCCTGTCAGTTTGAGGATTCTTAAGTGCGGTCATCATCGCCTCATTTCTGGCCCATGACGTTGCTAGTCCGTAAAATCCCTGTCTAATAGTTGTATCAATTTGAGCAATCTTTTTATGCTCCACTCTGTAATTACTTAATAGTGAATAGTCCTCATCCATCTCTGGGGCCTTCATAAAAGGTTCCACATTGTGTAATGGAAACTTCCTGGGATTGAACGCCGGCATAGGTTGTCCTTGAGTTTTACTTGCTTTTGAGAAAGCAGACTTTAAATTCTCCGCCACTTGCGAAGTAGGCTTGATAGACGGAATAGTTAATGTGTCAAGATCGTCATCCTTGATGAGATACATGTCCGCCGGTTCGTGAAGGTTGCATTGTGAAGGGCTGGGTTTGCAAAGGTTTGTGACGGTGCTTGTAGTGAGGACTGAAAAGGTGGGTTCCCTAACGTTGTATTCTGGTAAGCAGGGCTCATGAAGGTCTGTGACTACGCCGGGAAGTTGAGACCAGTAGGGCCTTGTAGAGGTGCTTGTGTTGACGGGTTCGCGAATGCTGTATTCTGATGAACTGGGTTTGCGAACGTGTGCGACTGCGTAGAAGAACCCAACCCGAGAGGAGCCCGATGTGCCGTCGGTTTCGCGAATGTAGACATAGAATAAGGTGTAGTTGTGGATAACATCATCGAAGGATTAGTTGTTGACGTTTCCCCAGTCTACCAGTGATTTAGTTAAAACATACCCAATAATACAACAGAAATGATTTCTGATGCAGTGATTGAAAAGAGCAGTATCTGAAACTATTATGTTATCAAGAGAAATATATTCTGGCATTGTTAGTTTGATTGCAGGTTTTGTTTTGTGAATGTAAACTATTTATAATCACATCTAAGGTTATGTAGCTGTCACAACTGTGGTTTCATGCAATCTTGCAATTTCCATCGTGAAAACATTTGTTGACATGTGATCTTCCGGCTACAACAAATATGTGCTTGGATATATTCTTCCAGCAATGAATGAATTTTTTGTTCAATGTTTTTCATCTGGAATGAGGCTTTTGTCATACTCTTCTTTTCTGTTTTTCTTTTTTTTTTCTTTTCGTAATAGCCACACAACCCCACCCCACCCCCTCCTATATGTGTCACCTTAGCTAAAGCATTTGAATGGAAATATGACATGTGTTTTAGCATGTTAAAGAAAATAAATATGTTGCAGTCAATGTGTAAAATTAGGGAATTTATGAATTGCCCGAAATTGTCAGTCAATTTGTAAATTGCCTGATTCATTCTGTCAATTTGTATGCAATTACATATCCTTATACCCATACTGAACTGTAGAATCTGTCCTAACATGAAAAATGATCACTGTTTTTACTTCTGTAACTGTTCTGTGTGGTTTTCCATTGGGTTTTTATCCTCTTTCAGGTTTATGAGAAATGTCAAAATTTCGAGAGGATGCGAATAGACTTTTTGAAGAAGACAATGTTTCAAATGCATTCCTGTTTGGATTTATCTGTTGATTCCAGGTGAGAATATGTTGATGTGTATTTCTTTATTTTTTGAAGTGACGATGTGTTCATTGACACTGTGACATTGTTTAAAGGCACAATGTCACACATTTTCGACAATTAGCTTCCTTTAGCTTCCTATTGATGCAATAAAAGACTTATTTCCTTACGACTTGCCTGAAATTGATAATTGAAACTTTGAGGCGAACAGCTTCCAGACAGAGAACACTTGCCATATATGGAATGTAAACAATTGCTCCGTACATCAAAAACTGTTGCAATCACAAGTTGTGAGTAGGATATTCATAAAGAGCGCTCCAAGGGACATAACTCTATGGGGTTCTCTTGAAATAATGTTCAGCCGGTAGAGGTCTCGAGAGTCGATTTAAAGCAATGTTGCATTAATTAATTTGGACTTTTTAATGTAATATTGTAATCTAAATACATAATCTAATTTTTGAATAAATTATATGGTAGCTTTCCTGAGGGCTGACATTTAGTATTATTGAGAGAAATACATTGTTTCATTTTAGAGAAGTGTGGTGTGATATAGTGCTCTTTGGGGTTTAGATGTGTTTCTTATTGACTTCTTTATCATGTATCCTCAACCATTTTTGTGCTTATTTCCACCAATGATGAAGAGTTTCTCAGAATCATTGGGATCATTTTAAGCATTCTCTCCTCTGAACATGCTTACATCACAGACCGCATAGCTGTCAATTAGCTGCAACTCTTTTCTTACATGATGGTTTGAGATTTCACTACACATAACATTCTCCTCGCTTTGAATAAATCTGGTTCCCTTGGTGCTCTTCATCCAAGTTTGAAATTCAAAACCTTCAACTCACCAAATATAGAATATCTATGATATATTTAGAACATGGTCTCTTGACCTAACTGTCCATTCTGTTAATCAACGATGTCTGTTTTCAGGTATGCAAAGCTGTACACTGACTTGCATTCAACGATAGGTAACACTGACCCAGATATGGACTTGAAATGGTGGTCTACAAACAGTGGTGTAGACATGGCGATGAACTGGCCTGCATTTGAGGTAATTACTTTTATTATTAGACCAACTTTCTTTTGAATTATCTCAGATTGAGAGAACAGATGGCAAACTTTCACCTTCGTACACATTGTCATTGAGGAGAGCATTTTAAAACAATGGCTAGCAGGTCAAAGCTGTAGATGGACAATCAACCTACAAAAGTGTCATTACACTCACTGCTTTGCTGTTGGTGTACAGCCAAAGAGAAGCCTCTGTCATGTGACAAGACTATCCGACGAACCTGTGTCCTTTTTTGAATGGAACGATCTTGAAGAATAATGACAATTATTATGGATATACAACTTCTTTTTTTCTGTGGAGGCGACGTTTCGACATAGGTTCTAATGTCGTTGTCAAGCAAGTGATACATGAGTAACAAATTGAGAGAATATATACAGGAGTTGTTGTTACAGTAGATAGGGAATGAGTTGTTTATACAATAGATGAGGTTGATGTACAACGTTTGTATGAGAGATTGAGTAAATTGATAGGAAGCCAGTAGGGTGACGTACAAGGACTGAATTAGAGCTTAAACAACTGATAGGAAGCCAGGTGGATGTTTATCCAATGGATGGGGTTGATGTACATAGTTGAAATGAAACAGGTAATGTACACAAGAAATCTCATTTATGTATCCAGCTATTAATTTTGAACAATGTGCTGGAGCGGCGTTTATATAAGCCACTAGGCTTGTTCGCCTATCCAGGTTTCTGCTTTGGCAAAATAAAAATATGTTTAAACCATATTTGCTCTAAACTCATTAAGCCCGAGGGCCACTTCACTACTCAACACCTGGAACCCCTCGCTGACTGCCCGGCTCGCTGTGGCGAGACTGATTAGTGCTATTCACACCTGATATCCCTGGCAGGTTTCGGGGAAGACAGGAAACTGTCTAGTCATACAAACAAGTCCTGGGCCCTGTTCCTCAAAGCGATCGTAGCGCTAGACAGTCGTAAGTCTATGTTAAAGTATGGAAGTTACGATCAACTTTGCGCTACGATCGCTTTCAGGAACGGGGCCCTGATTGTTAATTGTGTCGTAAAGATCTACGTGGAAAGAAAACAGGTGTGAATATATATCGCGTATTGCAACATTTTATGTAATTTTATTGCAAGTTTCTCTTAAAAATCTTTGGCGGCTTTGTACATTTATATTTTATCAACATATGTATGTATTCTTTGTATGTGAGAGATGAGACATACATAAACAAATTCTCTCATATCATTGTGAGAGGTTTAATTTTACAAAATATCTATGGCAATGACAGACTAAAAATTTACTTACGTGCTTTATAATCTTCAGAATTTTAAAACCATTCACTGTTTCTTCATCAAACTTGGCACATAGATAGATCTAGTGGTGTACTGGTGCCTTTTGGTAATTTTGGAATTCTGAATAAAATATTTTTTGCGTTTCCATGGCAACAAGTTTTACTTCGACTGAAATTGGTGGTAGTGCTCTTTTCCGGAGCAAAACTTAAAAACCGTTCACTGTTTCTCCACCAAATTTCGTGCATAGGTAGGTCTAGTGGTGAACAGGTGCCTTTTGGTAGTTTTTTTGATTTCTGAATAAAATATTTATTGCATTTCCATGGCAACAAGTTTAGCTTCCACTGAATTTTATGGTATTGCTCCTTTCTGGAGCAGAACTTAAAAACCTTTCAATACTCTCCTTCCAATTTGCTATATACATGCAAAACATTTCACATAATCATAACTTGTAGACTTATTCATGAAGAGTATTTTGGCATTGCTGGGGATATTGATGATTTTGTCTTCTTGTTTGGATAATTACAAATTTTGAACACTACCGGTAATTATCCCCCATATTTCTAATTAAGGTGATTTTGTGTCTTGCCATCATTTCTGAAAATGCATCTTTACATTATAGGAATATTCTCCAGAGCTACAGTCTATATCCAAGCGTGGTAAGTCGCAGATTGGCAGTGGAGATGGTATCACTATTACACGTATCCGCCATAACAGAGAGAGCAGCTATGAGAACTATGGGTCAGACCATGCCCAACCACCCAGCTACAACACATTGCCCACAACCCAGACCAGGGCCAATGACACCAATATTGCAGCCGCAACAGTCACTCCACCACCACCCAGGTATATATGATATCAATTATTTTGTTTCTTACTACATTTCTATCTCTTCTGATCTCATGGTCTTTTATGATAATAAAGAGTTAGTAAATCATCACTTTGATTGTGGAAGGTGTGTGTATTCAGGCAGCCTAGCTATGATGAGAGTCTCAATCCATTTGGTGGTGATGATAAGGAAGATGAAGGTGGTGGCGCAGATGTACCACTTAAAGAAGAAAAAGAAAGTCTAGAGTGTCAGCTACCGCCTTCCCCTCCACTCCCTCAGAAGACAAGCGATGCAGCATCTCCTGCTCAGAACATGCACACTAATCATGTTAAAGGCCTTTCATCTGACCAGAGCTGCAAGCAAGCAACATCTACCAACAAGCACAAGTATACAATTTTCCCTTTGTAACCTGCACCAGCTCATTGCATCTGATTTGACTGCTGGGTTTGCTGCATCAGTCTCCTAGAACCAGGCAGATTAACCCTTCGATGGCGGAGCATGTTAGCTTAGCTGTACCAGTTGGCCTGAGACAATTGATAATCAACTCCTGACTAATAAAGTAATTGCATTTTTCCTCGCAGATTACTGAAATTCAGTACAAACAGAACCTGCTATCTCTCTAAGTTATTAACAAACTTACAGCTGCCTAGTCTGAAGACTTTTTAGGCCACCTGGACCCTTTGGTCCAAATGAGTCCTAGTGGTTCGTCAGTCATCCATCTCTTATGAATTACATGGGATAGTCAGCTGAACACAAACAAACTATTTGGAGAAACTACTGGTTTCTCAGTTAGTGATGGTTTAAAAATAGCCTGATTTAGACCGAGAATCTGTTTTTGACACCAGAACACATCCAATCCCAGAAACCCAGTACAGAGATTGAGTGTTCTTTATCCTTCAAAGTACTTGGTGGAAATAAGAGTCCCCTCACTGCTTCGTTGTTGTACTTTTCTGTGCTCACAGCTGATAGGTATTTGGGCTACACCCATATTTTAGCTTTTTGACTCGAGCTTCAAGCGTTCTGAAATGTTTGTCTAGAATACATGCATGAATTTCTATTGCAGAAATTTGTTTTACAATAGTTTGTTGTAGAATGCTGAAACTGTATGTAAATCATCTGATTTGAAGCTTTTATCAATGTTGTTAAAATCAATTCTTCAAAATCAAGTTTGATTTTAATGGCAACCTAACAAAAGAATCAGAAGCCCAGTAAAAATGGCCTTCTAAAAGGGACGTTTTTGAAAATATGGACAGAAAATAAGATGGAGGATGTATAGAGACCATTTGAAGATTGTGGAAGAGGAAGCTCATGCTGATCTGGGAAAACTATAAATCCAATATAAACCAGAGACAGGAGTAGCTCAGTACTTAGACAAAGTTATTAGTACTTTCAACTTTGTATCCTATCACTTCCTGGTTCAGAAAACACATCTCACTGTATATGAACTCTATACCAGAAAGTCACATGGTTAAAGCCATTTGCAGTTCTGGGTTTGACACTGCCACGCCATGTTTGCAAAATATGGCTTCATGCATACAATTAAATCCTAGGAAAAGATTGTATGTCAGTAACTTATTCAAAACAAATGTGTTGTCTCGGGAAGCAGAGAAGAAGAATGGAAAATTGTCAGCAAGTATGTTTTTTGGCAGTTCACTGTATTCCAGCTATATCACAGTAACAACTAACTTTACACCTATCATATGTCATGATTGTGTCAAATATCAAGGTCTCTGTGAGGGAAGGTCATTCTCATGAAATGACATGTAAATGAAATATTTTACACAAGTATTATGACTATTTTAAAGACAAAACCGTAGTTAAATGTCAGGGTCACTTGTGGAAACCAGGCATCCCCCCCCAAAAAGCAGATATACACAATATCGTAAGTATTTCTCATTAAGATTGTGACATCTTTAAACTGGAAATGGTCATACCTTGTTTCGAAAGTAGCTAGAGTCATGTAACAAAGTTTTTCTGCATTATTCATGTTTTTTCACAAACTTGAAAAGATGTGTTTTCTAACTGAAAGTTCTTATTGTTATTTAACTTTGTTTCTTGAGTGCCCACCAACATGGAACTTACCTGATTTGTTAAGTCCAAATGGTCCGTGATACATATATTTTATGGGAAGGTTTTGGGTCATTCAGCAAAACTTAGGGATGGGTCTGCTTCTTTTTCTTTTTTTTTCTTTTTTTTGCTTGTAATGCAAATATTATTTTTTCTGTTTTCACCATGTTTTCTTGCCTACAAGTAAAGTATAGATAAACTAACTGATCATGTGAAATCTGGTGCATAATCTCTGATGGGATTTCGATTGCATTAATGCTTGGGTGATATCCTTTTGAGGTCAATGTCCCTAGATGTGACAATATGAAACATTGTTCCAGGTAGATTAGAATTTATTCTGCTGTTGTTAAAATATGCCTTGAAAAGAATCTTTTGTTTGATGCATGGTGTTGTATTTGTCTGTTCAAGGTGAGCTTGAGATCCTTTGGACTTTATTGTTTTGCTTTTTCCCTTGAGTTGGGTTACTATTGGCATGCCAGGCTTTTGAAGTCACAGCATGCAGTTCAATTGACATGAATTACAACTAACTAGCATCATTTCCTATATTTTTGTGTGGCAGGCTATGTGAAAAGCATGTTATTCACTCCTCTTTGTTTTGTGTCATTTCAACTAGAACAAACTAACCAAATGATGGCATGCACCATTGGGCCTATGTGTCTTCTAAGGTGGAGAAACATGTCCAAGTAATGGTGGGGTATTGACTTAAATGTTTGACATGGCTTGGCATATGCGTATGAAAAATAGAAAAGTTGTTGTAATGAACTGAGATAGTCTGTTTGTGTATGTATAGTATAACGTTACACTTACTTTGTATATATTTTATTGTATATGGACCTGAGGGCCTTCATGCAAGTAATTTCCTTAATCACCTATATCTTGATGGCAGTGTTGTGGCTGCATCCTGATATTGGGATTTCAACTGGAACAGTTTTCAAAATCAGCCTAAAAACACTGGTCTGAGACTAGTAAACTTAAGAAGAAATAAGTGACATTCCTGAATGGACTATTCCTTCACTATTATGTAGATAGCTTGTGAGTAGCAGATAAGTGTTGAATCCAAAGAAAAATAAGCATTGGTTTCTGAACCCAAATCCGTTTTTGTTATATTTGTCTTCCATGTAAGAAGTTCAAACTGACTGCAAAGTGAAGAAACACTTGGCTCAGCAGCATGTTCAGGATTGTCCTCTTTTATATATAAAACACTTAACAGCATGGGATTGTTTTTTAACAACTCAACAGAATTAACAGGTACATATTGTTTTGTGAGCTATTTTATGTATCCAGACATTTGAATCAGCTCAAAGTAAAGCTATGGTGGCAAATGGGTCCAGTGTATTTATCAGAATAGAAAGAAAATAATATACCCTGAATTAATCAAAACTGATTAAGAAAAACCCTCGGCTGCATTCTTTAGTTACTGGACAGTCGCATCCACATGAACATTGGGCTTCTCTCCAGATTGTTATTTCATTACTCAAGAAATGTAAGGTGAATCTTTTTGGAGACATTGAGATATTGCTTCTCAAATATAATACATTCTTTGTGTTTGAAAGGATGTGCATAAAAGATGTTTTCCTAAGTTAAATGAAAATGTATTGTCTTTCATTGTTTAGTTTTTATCAGATATTATATACCGGTACTAGTGGGAAAGCTTTTGGGCATCAGTATCTTGGCAAATAAAACCTAACACGATCAAATAATGATTTTTGTCAGACAAATATCTTGATTAGAAACATGAATTCATCATAATTGTGTCAACACATGTCCTCTGTGCACGGTATCTCAGGCTGTGAGCAGCAAGGGGGCAGTTGTCACAACTGTCACAAGTCAGTATTGGGTATAACCAATGTTAGCAGTGACACAAGATGCCTTGATCAAGGTACGATAAACATGTCACATTTAAAACACTTTGATGATTTACTCTGTTTGAACTGACCTAGACTTGTGTACTGTGCATGTGTGACAGATTTCTAACTCCTGAGATAATTTCAGGTTCATCATGGGTAATCCAAACTAAGTGTTAGTATGTATGATAATTATGCATTATTTAATGTGAAATTTGTATTGTGCACACAGAAATTATTTTTCCACTGATATATTAATTCCCTTTTCTAGGTTCTTTTGTGGCATTCTATAACTATCATCCATACATTCATTGTTAAGAGAAAGATTGCTGTGTGTTTAGGCCTATTTCTTAAATGTTCTTACGTGAATCCATTCTGGTGTCCCCTGCCATGATATTGCTGGAATATTGCTAAAAGCGACGTAAAACCATGCTCACTCACTCACTCTACCATTATTAGTTTACAAGTATGTTTCTAAGGTCTGCAGGTAAGAGACATTTCCTCAACAAATCTACTGGTTTCCTACATTTGTGAAAAATAATACATAGGTTAAATATTGATGTGGCAATATGTGTTGCATAAAAGGGGTGTAGGACTATCAGCGCTGAATTCTGCGTGAAACCCATTAATATTGGATCGTGATGAAATCATTTATGTAAGTTTACTCATTTGCAGTGTTTAGGTGTGTTGGAGCTGTGTGCCTTTAATATAGTGTGGAGGCCAGTAATTGCCATGCTAAGTTGGTGTCTGTATGCTATGTGCTTGCAGCATGCCAGCAGCACCCGTCACTGATGACTACAATGGTGGGGCTTCCAACCCGTTTGGAGAGGCTGCATCAGATGATGATCAGTCAGTTGAGGATGATCCTGCAACAGACCGTGGAGTTGCTGTCAAAGCCATATATGATTATGTCAAGACAGAAGATGATGAATTTAGTTTCAAAACCGGTAAGCATATTCTCTCCTGTATCGAGTAACACCATGCCAGTCGAAAAATCCTGCTGTCCTGATGTTATTGCACTAATATCTACATATATATATCTACATGTCCACACCCTTGATTCAGTTTTAACAAGGAAAAACAAATAAGATATATGCATCTTACTGTTGGCCACAGGACGTACAATTAAATACCTTTTACCTCACTTGAGCTAAAAACCCGTGAAGGTCCAGGTTAGAATTTGATCTTCAGTAACCCATGCTTGTCGTAAAAGGCAACTAATGGGATTGGGTGGTCGGGCTTGCTGACTGGGTTGACACATGTCATCGTATCCCAATTGCATAGATCGATGTTCATGCTGTTGATCCCTGGATTGTCTGGCCCAGACTCGATTATTTACAGACCGCCGCCATATAGTTGTAATATTGCTGAGTGCGGCATAAAACTAAGCTCACTCATTCACTTGAACTAAAAGTTCAATTCATTGTGAACTGCCTCCGTGGTGTAGTGGTTAAAGTGTCCGTCCAAAGAGCGGAAGGTAGCGGGTTCAGTCCCCGGTAGTGTCATACCAAAAGACATTAAAATATGGTACTTGTTGGTCCCTGTCTGTCACTCAGCATTAATCAGTATAATGTGTCTGAGTGGGGTATTCATGCTTAACTACGGCATTGTATCTCAGTGAGCTAGCACTATAAAACCAGTTTAAGTCTGGGCTGATACAAGCAGCTTATTTACAGACCGCCACCATATAGCTGGGATATTGCTGAGTGCGGCGTAAAAATAAACTCACTCACTCACACATACACACGCATGCATGCCGTCATATGAGCGAAGTATTCTTAAGTATGATGTTAAACCCCATTTCACCTTGCCTTGGTTCATTGTGCTTTTGCAGCCATCTGTCCATCAACCCAGACTAGATTTTTTAACAATAACACCATGAAGCTGAAACTTAAAATGGCTGATCCTAGAAGTAGTGTCTCTGACAATTTTTGACAGATGGTTACCATGATTTTGCTCATTATTAGGGTCCTGAATAATGTGATGGCAGGATACATTGTATGTTACAACTTGTGTTACAGCTGATGGCTGATCTCATGTTGTGTTACAGCTGATGGCTGATCTCATGTTGTGTTGCAGCTGATGACTGATGTCAAATTGTGTTTCAGCTGATGGATGATCTCAACATGTGTTTCAGCTGATGGCTGATCTCAACTTGTGTTTCAGCTTATGTTTTTACTGATCTCATGATCTGATGGCTGAACCTATCTCATGTTGTATTACAGCTAATGGCTGATCTCAACTTGTGTTTCAGCTGATGGCTGATCTCATGTGTTGCAGCCGATGGCTGATCTCATGTTGTGTTACAGCTGATCTCATGTTGTGTTACAGCTGATGACTGATCTCATGTGTTACAGCTTATGACTGATCTCATGTTGTGTTACAGCTGATGGCTGATCTCATGTGTTACAGCTTATGACTGATCTCATGTGTTACAGCTTATGACTGATCTCATGTGTTACAGCTTATGACTGATCTCATGTGTTACAGCTTATGACTGATCTCATGTGTTACAGCTTATGACTGATCTCATGTTGTGTTACAGGTAATGGCTGATCTCATGTGTTACAGCTGATGGCTGATCTCATGTGTTATAGCTGATGGCTGATCTCATGTTGTGTTACAGCTGATGGCTGATCTCGTGTTGTGTTACAGCTGATGGCTGATCTCATGTTGTGTTGCAGCTGATGGCTGATCTCATGTTGTGTTGCAGCTGATAGCTGATCTCATGTTGTGTTACAGCTGATGGCTTATCTCCTGTTTTGCAGCTTATGACTGATCTCATGTTGTTACAGCTGATCTCATGTTGTGTTACAGCTGATGGCTGATCTCATGTGTTACAGCTGATGGCTGATCTCATGTTGTGTTACAGCTGATGGCTGATCTCATGTTGTGTTACAGCTGATGGCTGATCTCATGTGTTACAGCCGATGGCTTATCTCCTGTTTTGCAGCTTATGACTGATCTCATGTTGTGTTACAGCTTATGACTGATCTCATGTGTTACAGCTTATGACTGATCTCATGTGTTACAGCTTATGACTGATCTCATGTGTTACAGCTTATGGCTGATCTCATGTTGTGTTACAGCTGATGGCTGATCTCATGTGTTACAGCTGATGGCTGATCTCATGTTGTGTTACAGCTGATGGCTGATCTCATGTGTTACAGCCGATGGCTTATCTCCTGTTTTGCAGCTTATGACTGATCTCATGTTGTGTTACAGCTTATGACTGATCTCATGTGTTACAGCTTATGACTGATCTCATGTGTTACAGCTTATGACTGATCTCATGTGTTACAGCTTATGGCTGATCTCATGTTGTGTTACAGCTGATGGCTAATCTCATGTGTTACAGCCGATGGCTTATCTCCTGTTTTGCAGCTTATGACTGATCTCATGTTGTGTTACAGCTGATGGCTGATCTCATGTTGTGTTTCAGATCACATTTTATGTCTTGTGTTGATGACAAAATGCATCTATTTTTCATGGTTGATGATAAATGACATGTTATGTTATAGGTGATGTGTTTGTCAAGTTAACAGATGAGGATGAGATGGGATGGTGCAGGGGAAGAAAAGATGGTGACATTGGTCTTTTTCCAGCCAACTATGTTGTGCCATTATGAGTGGTCCAAGCCAGCTGTGAGCCTGGTGGCCATGTATGGGACTGTGATACTTACAGCCATCAGAAGTGTAGTATGTTACTCCAGACAACAGCCACCCTATACCTCCAAGTCCACATCTGTGGATGTACTGTAGACATACATAGTCACCCGCTTCCTATCATAGATGCAACTACTTGTAACCAGGGTGGAGTAGATGACACCTCATGCTGATAGACACATAATGTGTTATAAAAGTTATCTGATATTAGTTTCTGTACATATTGATATATTAGTATCTTCAATACAACCTTACTAAACACATTGATACAGACCTTAATGTTTTGTTTGCAAATGGTTGTAGTTTTTTCAGGAAGAACCATTTCCAAAGGCAAATATTTTGTCAAGATATCAATTTTCAGCAACCAGTGAAATACATGTTTCTTACTGTTAATGGATAAAACTGAACTGATAGTGCTTTAACAGTAGTCAACCCTAATATTTGTTTCATTTTGATTATTATAATCGTCATGATCATTTGAAAGAGTGTGTGTTACGATATATATGTACATATATGTATATATATTGTAGCAACATTTGCTTTTAAGAGTACAAGTAGATTTACTCAATGCAAATTTGGTTCTTGGAAAGCAGTAAACATGGATGTAAAATATTGCACCCATGTTATCGATATTCTTCTGACAACAAAAATAGCTACAGCTTTTGTAATTATTTTCTACACAGATGTTATGTGCTTTGATATTTGCTTGGGGGATATATGCTGTTATAAGCAGGACTCCATTTTTAGGTGTTTACCAGACTTTCTTTTGAGAATGAAAAATGTTTCATACAAAGCCTCTCTCTCTCTATATATATATAGGTTTGGCATTGGTATAGGCAAGAGAGTGTAAATATATGTGACTGCTTTGTATGTGTCGATAGTCCACTGCATGTTAAAATTATTTCAAATGATTAACACAGCAACTCAGGTAGCTGCTTCCATTTGTCAAGTTGGGTTGTTCTCTGGCAATACACACTGGGAATTGAGCAGTCAGCACTGATGTTAGGGATGGAGTAAGTTGCCATCCTCAACATGATCATGTCTAATGCCAAATTATTGAATCAAAGGATCATAAGTTTGTAAAATTGAATTTGCAAATTGCACTTACTTTTAATGTGTTTAAGCTTATGAGCTGAGTGTACGAAGGAAGGCTAGACACTGCGACATGTTTAAATACAATAGCTGTCTATGAGCCGAGTGTACGAAGGAAGGCTAGACACTGCGACATGTTTAAATACAATAGCTGTCTATGAGCAGAGTGTACGAAGGAAGGCTAGACACTGCGACATGTTTAAATACAATAGCTGTCTATGAGCTGAGTGTACGAAGGAAGGCTAAACACTGCGACATGTTTAAATACAATAGCAGTCTATGAGCTGCGAGTATGAAGGAAGGCTAGACACTGCGACATGTTTAAACACAATAGCTGTCTATGAGCTGCGAGTATGAAGGAAGGACAGATTTGTTGCTGTGACCTTGATTGCTTGTAATTTTGCTTTGAAAGACACAGGCATAATATCTCAGAGAGCTTTTCGGAACTAAACTGTTTTGTGCACCTGCCTACTAAACACTTGCTTCATCTCTGCTATGTGTGGAAGCACACATACAAAGAAATGAATTCGAAGGTATTGTGACAAAAATGAAAAAAAAACATGTGGAATGTGTTGAAGGAAATATGTTGATAGATGAGCAGAATATGTTTTATTTTATTTTATGATTCAATTAGTAACCAGGAAGTCTAATATAGTCATGAAGTACAGAACTTATATAATGTATGTAAAATATCTAATGGTCTTTCTAAATATTACTGGATAATGGGCTTGTTATTTTAAAAACAACAAAAATATTCCAAAGTTCTTTTTCTCAAACTCTGTGCAGTTTATTGCCTTTTAGCTGCAATTTCTTCAACCTTAAGATTCTGCAACCTTAAAGACATTAACAAGAAGTCATTTATATATGTTGAAATACTTTACCTGAAATCATTGAAAAGATGCTATTTTTTTATTGTTGTTTTAGATACGATTACAGCATTTACATTATTAGATAGTTGTATAGCCACTAGAATCACATGGATTTATGTGTAGCTTTATGCCGTAACTGGGGATTAATTTGTATTTATACTGCCTACTCAGAGTGTGAGCCAAAATGTTGGTGTTTTTGTATATAATATGATCATATGTCTTTCATAATCTTTAAGTAAGTGCATAAACAGTAGTTATAGTGACAAAATGGGACTACCTCCTTTATTTATGATTTTAGCCACAACTGAGAGCGCATACAAAAGTGGGAACTTGTTGACTGAACTTTCTGAGTTCTTACCCTTGTTAAGTGAAGTTGAGTGATCATCACCCTGGTACACCAGATATTTTGGAGGTTGATCAGTTATCGCTTCAAGATAAAATTAGAGGTTGTGTGACCATCACCCTTTTCTTCCAGATATGTTGGTGATTGAACAACGGTTAGTGAGTGAATGAGACTGGTTCTTTGTGTGTTGCGCTGTGTAAGATTCTTGTCACACAATCTAATGTATTCACTCAGTTGGGAAATATATTTCATTGATCAGATTTTCTTATTACAGAAATATAATCATACACTTTTTAAGGTATTTGTTTTCTCCTCTCTCTCTGAACCAGTTACAGAATTGCCAGAGTTCATAATTCCAGTGATATATTTGTTAACATGGCAATAAGTAGTAGAGGACTTCTTTGTAGATGTCATGTCAGTAAATCAGTTCTCATGCTAGATATACAAGCTTGAATTACATGTTTTGTTCATAACTATTTGTTCTTGGCCAAATTTTGCAAAAAGGAGATAATCTATCTGCTTGACTTTATCCAATCAGGAAATTGTAAATTGTTGACCCCATACTGTGACAATCTGTTTTATTACTACAGGAGCTTATGCTAGTCATTGGTAACTGATTGGATACTACTGCATTAGGGAGTTACTAATTATGTGTTGACTGTTGTGGCATCCCTTCCATGTTTTGCTGAGTTATGTACTAATTTTTTTATCATTTTGGTTTGCTGAGAGCTTTATCTACATGGTGTAGATAATTTTCAGCAAAAGCCAGTGTGGAGATCATTGACCAAATCCTTTTACCCTCAGAAAGAAAATGCAGTGTTACACAATGGTGACATTTTTTGCAGAAATGTAAAGGCCAGTATGCAATAAAGTATTGGAAAATTCTGAACAGAGGACCATTTTGGCATTTTTTGGTGCATAAATTAATCAATTTCTATTTGTGAAGGGAATTTCAGAATAAGATTTTAAAAATATTGATTTCTATTTGGCAAACAAGTTTGGATGATCTTCTATATTTTGATGTTAGCTACTGGTTTTATCAGTCCATGTGTAGACATGTGGACAGCCAGTATTGATGGCCATACATGATTGCAACAGTGGTTAACTCTTACAGATAATATTTCGACATTCCCTCCTTGAGTGCAATTGAAATGTGAAGACAGGGATCTGTAAATACTCAGTATCAGAGAGTTGTATGAGCTTGGATATCAGCTGACAGGGGTTAGAATATTTATGCAATTAATGACATGAGTTGATGATCGTTAGTCAGTTCTAAGTCTTAAACAAGTGGCAATACATTTATCCTCATCAGGCTATCAAGCATTGATTTGTAGAGATTGATACATATGGATATCCCAGTCTTTGACACTGAAGAATTATGATACAGACAGTTTGGTTGTCTTCTGGTCTTAGTGTATGTAGTAGCAAGATGATCTACTTAATCACAGTGTCCATATTATTTGCTTACATAACAATGATGTAGCCTGATAACCAGTTTAGCCTTGGATATTTCCTATATCTGTACATGTGTATCATTGTATAGTCAGGGCAGTAAGCTGGCAAATCGTTGAAGTCCTTGTGACTCAAACTGGAGTCATTGTCATGCACTTGTAGTCGCTTTTGTAGATATCCTACAAAAGTGACATCCATGTGCTTCACCAATTACTAGATAAATCTTAACACGTGTAATATATAAATACATATATAATCATGGTTATTATGAATAAAGATGTTCAACAGTATAATAAGATTTGTACTGTGATGTATTACAGGATGAAGGTTGAATAAGTACTTTATATTTAGCTGTTTAAGTTCATATGCATAACCACTTAATCTTAAACATGGTACTCTTGGGGTTTTCATTCACTCAAAAGATCTTTTGAGGAAGAAGGGCCACAAAGTTAATGCAAAATGCATTAAGATGAAAAAATGTTGCCAGACCATATGTGCCTGAGTACCAATATACAAAAATATAAGCAGTTTCTGCTGGTGATCTATTTAATGATTAGCTTCTATTTATCTTATGGCTTCTGAATTGGAAACTCGTTTTAGGCAGTTTTATCCTTCTCAAACTTAAATTCTTGTGCAATTGATTTCATTGGAAGTTTGAACATCATAGAGCATTGTGGCATGGGCTCTTAACATTTCAGTCAGTAATTACCTGATTGCCATCACAAAATAGACCAATAAAACAATGACAGCAGTCAATCTGGTCGGCCAATGGCGACAACTGGTGCTTTTGCCTGTTTTCATCAGTTACAAAACCTTAGTCAAAGTGCTTCTCAAACTGGGGAAGAGCCTCACAGTGTGCGTGGATGGACAATTTGAAGTTGTCAACAGATATGGAAGCTTCTTGCCCAACATCCATATGTTATCCTGCAACCATTATCACATAACTGCATCATCTTCCTGTCAAAAGCCGTATCGCTGGATCAACTCTCATTGGGCCAGCGTTATGTTTTCGGATGCATCAAGGTTACTTTGGACTTCCATGACAAGTGCAAGAGATTGTGACGTAGGTTGATAGAGCATTATCACATGAACTATTGTGGTATCCATTATGTGAAAGGCAACAAATTAATACATTCAGACATCAAAACAAAACAAAGTGTTCGTGTGTGGTAAAATATGGACCCAGTTTATTCAGTACAGGTGGTGGTGGTGGTACCCTGGGGGAAGCTACCTGTCAAAATAACATTCAATTGCCATTAAGAAACACCTGAGCAGCCCAGGGGAGATAACCAGTCATATGTAAACTTAGGCTCAGTACTATTCGTTACACTGCTATACTAACAACCCTAGTAGAAGGTCGCGTCAGCTAACCTTTGAGCGACCTATCGTCCAATCAAACTCGAGACGGCCAAACAGATTAAACCAATCAGACAACGGCTACTTGTTAGGGTTCGGTGGGACTTACAAAATGGTTTTGGGATTTTCTCTTCCCCGGTCGCTGACACTGATCTCTCAACAAACGAAAATCCTAACAGATATTTGACCTGCAGTATATACGCTTAGGGGTTTCTATGACTCGGAAAATAGCATTCGGAATCGTTCGAGGTATTGGTTCGCGATTTGGTAAGCTGTGTTGGTCAATCCAAAAGGTTACCTGATGTGACCTTTTACAAGGATTTGTTAGACTCAGAATAGCAGTGTAACGAAAAATACTGAGCCTAAGTTTACTTAGACTGGGGAGATAACCATCGATGAGCAACTCCCTGTCGACAAGCTGTCAACTACATGTACCACCTGGCAAGCCATTAGAAACACCCTCTGCAGCAGGACCAACCCCAAACCATAGCTGTACACACATAACAATGGGATGCTTGTGAGGGTAACTTATCAACAAACCTTACCCATAGCTACCAGTACTCAACCCTATTCAAATAAAGATTTTCCCCAGGATCTGCCACCAAATTTGGCCCCAATTTTGGTATTTGCAGAACCTCATGAATGGCACTGATGAAAAAAGGCCGGACATAACTTAGACATAAATATCATCATCTTGATATGCCACCTCCTAACTGACAGTTAACCCATTTTTATACTCAAAGCCATTAAAAATGCAGTTTCTTTGGACTGACTGCGTATGGTTTTACGCCGTTTTTAGCAATACCCATGTGTGGAATCGAACCTGGGCCTTCGGCATGACGAGCGAACGCTTTAACCACTAGGCTACCCAACTGCCCCAGTTTCTCTGGAGAACACTCGAAAGACCTATAGAAAGTAAGACAACTCGACATGATGGTATGTTTAAAATATATATTCAAGTTAGGTGTATTGTTTCCATGATCTACTGTTGAAAAGACATCTTGCATTGATAGTCTGTTTTTATACTCCTGCTAAAACATGTTACCTTGACATTTTTAGAAAACACTTTGGCTAATAACATCAGAAAATCTACAAGTAGTGACATTTTAAAAGAAAAAGAAACATGTAAAGATTTATCAATTTTATTGGGTTCATGAAACACTAAACATCAAAACAAAGATTTGGGTAATATGCAATTTTTACAAAGTTTTTACTCAGCAGAATTTTGGTAAGAGAGGTTAACAAGGGATCCTGAAATCCAGCAACTCATTTATTCAGGTCACAGGAGTCATTATGTCTGGTATGAGGACCCGAATATCTGTCACAAGCATGTGATGCCTCAGAGATCAAACTGGAGCAAAGATATTACTAATCAGCATCAGATCAGTGATCAGCTTGGGTCCATGCTAACTTTCGTAGTAAATGTGAGTGAGTTTTTATACTGCACATTTAATAAATAACAAACACATTTGCATTGTAAATACATTTATAAAACCATGAATAAATACAACTTGTAAAAGTTAACATGATCAAGGATTGTTATCAGTAAATCAGATAACTACCACAGTAAAGTTTCTTATAACATCAACCAATAAGTTCTCATAACAGACAGGTGTATTTGGCTTTCTGTCTATCCAATTGTTGCTCTCATTCGTGTAATTCATGTCAAAGTTCATGGGGTAACATTTTAATTGTTAAGCAATTTGAGTTAGGCTGATAAAGTCTTAAAGCTGTGTAGCTCACCTGAATATTTTCAACATAAGCAAGCCAAACAAGAATGAATAAATAAGAACATTCACTATAAAACATTCTAAACAACAAATATCCTCAATTTCTACCCTGGAACACTTTCACAGAAGAAAAACTAGCGAGCCAAATGACTTTCACATCTTCCAAGGATGAATTTGGAACACATCTTACAGGGTCTTTCAGCATACTGCATAAGACAATTTTACAAAGACACATAAGCAGAGGACATTGTCAAGATGACTGTCACCTGATACATTTCAGTCACCCATTAACAAAAGCCTTAGTTGCTATGCACCTAAACAGACCTAGAATCAGCACTGGAGCAAATCCATGTCTCATCATTAGAAGCAAAATGCCAACCAGACTTCACCTTTAAAACAGTTAAACAGTTTCCGAGATGTTTACACATCACTGAGTGCATGGAAGGTAAGACATGGTCAAAGTTATCAAATAATGGTAAATTTTCACCATTAAATATTACATAAAAACCCAGAACTCCTACATGTGGTAACAAGCATGCCAGGTTTCAGCTTGATTGCTTGTTAGAATATAGGAGCAGACAAGCATGCCAGGTTTCAGCTTCATTGCTTGTTAGAACATAGGAGCAGACAAGCATGCCAGGTTTCAGCTTCATTGCTTGTTAGAACATAGGAGCAGACAAGCATGCCAGGTTTCAGCTTCATTGCTTGTTAGAACATAGGAGCAGACAAGCATGCCAGGTTTCAGCTTCATTGCTTGTTAGAACATAGGAGCAGACAAGCATGCCAGGTTTCAGCTTCATTGCTTGTTAGAATATAGGAGCAGACAAGCATGCCAGGTTTCAGCTTCATTGCTTGTTAGAACATAGGAGCAGACAAGCATGCCAGGTTTCAGCTTCATTGCTTGTTAGAATATAGGAGCAGACAAGCATGCCAGGTTTCAGCTTCATTGCTTGCTAGAACATAGGAGCAGACAAGCATGCCAGGTTTCAGCTTCATTGCTTGTTAGAACATAGGAGCAGACAAGCATGCCAGGTTTCAGCTTCATTGCTTGTTAGAATATAGGAGCAGACAAGCATGCCAGGTTTCAGCTTCATTGCTTGTTAGAATATAGGAGCAGACAAGCATGCCAGGTTTCAGCTTCATTGCTTGTTAGAATATAGGAGCAGACAAGCATGCCAGGTTTCAGCTTCATTGCTTGTTAGAACATAGGAGCAGACAAGCATGCCAGGTTTCAGCTTCATTGCTTGTTAGAATATAGGAGCAGACAAGCATGCCAGGTTTCAGCTTCATTGCTTGCTAGAACATAGGAGCAGACAAGCAGGCCAGGTTTCAGCTTCATTGCTTGTTAGAACATAGGAGCAGACAAGCAGGCCAGGTTTCAGCTTCATTGATTATTAGAATATAGGAGCAGACAAGCATGCCAGGTTTCAGCTTCATTGCTTGCTAGAACATAGGAGCAGACAAGCAGGCCAGGTTTCAGCTTCATTGCTTGCTAGAACATAGGAGCAGACAAGCATGCCAGGTTTCAGCTTCATTGCTTGCTATAGGAGCAGACAAGCATGCCAGGTTTCAGCTTCATTGCTTGCTAGAACATAGGAGCAGACAAGCAGGCCATGACTAAGGAGCAGTTGACTTGGATCAGGTGAGCAAACAGCTTGCTAATTCCACAAATCATCATACCCCTGTCAAAACCTTACTACAGTCTTTCAAACATAATCCCAAGACACACTAACAATTTTAAGTAATTGACAGAGTACATTCACACACATGATCTTTCCGACACGTCTATAGAAAATACAGCCACTTCTACAAGTTTAAGATGACCCTATCCTAGTAATGTACACAATAAGCCTGCTATTAAATTGCTTGTCCTTGTAACCTTCACAGGCAAAAGACGCCAGGATGAAACTCGTACAAAAAGAAAATGAAAAAAAAAGAAGAACTATATAGTCAATGACTTTTTAGTGTGTTTACTAAAGTTAGAGTCTTGTTGACAACCAACATACGACAATACTAGTAGATCTTTGACATTCTGGATGAGTTGAAAGAAAGGCATTTGTACTAGCCACGTAAGGAAAATGTGGCTGTTTAAAAGTTAAAGTCCTCAAAACTTATAGTATGAGTGGCAGTGCCTTTTGGATTTGAAAGATTGTATGACATCAATATGTATCCACAGTATTGAAAGAATTCAATGTTGAGTGTCACAATAAACATATAGCAGACATCCAGGTCAAAATTATCCTACGACCCAAGTCAAGTATAATGTCTTAAAGAAAGACATACTAGGCCATTATTACTTCAGAAATAAAATTAATTCTTATCACAAATGATTAAATTTAGTCCACTCATGGTACTACACATGCTCTCATTGTTAGAAAGAATGGAAAAACATGAATTTTTCACTGTCGTTTTTCACTTATTTTTTAGTACTTCACTTCCTAAGTCAAACAACAAAATTTATGTAAACAGTAAAGAGAGGTAGTAGGGTACTGCTTTATACCTTCATGTTATTATCAACAATCAAAGCTAGACAACCTCTCAAGCTGACACACAAGATCCCAGTGTGTACAGCTCAAGAGCAAGGTCTGTAAACATGACCATGAGATTCTGTCAAATATTGCACAAGCTTAAATACTAAAAGGTTGAAGGACCACTGAGCAAATTTTTCAATATTTTGGATTATTAGTGAACATACAATGTTACAGGTGTTATTTGTTTCTGGTATACGTTTGAGAACAGTGACATTGCCTAATAAGTATTATCCTCAGAACAATTAGATTAGAACAAGATTTAAATTCCTGAAGACAGCAATCATAATCAATCAAAGTTTTCTGACCTAACAATCCTGACTTGACATATGATGTTGTTTATATGAACTGTATACCTGTAGATCCATCTATGGCTGTTTGTAACAATTATGAAAATAACAGGGACAGCCCAAACAAATATCAAGTTAACCAACTATGACTATTAACAGTGGTAACATATTTTGATACCTTAATATATACCTTAACATAATTTGAACACATAATGTTTAGCTTCTCAATATGCCTCAGCTATTCAAATCTTGAAAAAATTCAAGATAGGAGTGTATATGGAGGTGATTGAAGGTATCTTGAGTACCCACACCATAATCATTATATCATTTCTGGGTTGTAGGCTCGGTTATATTTTGCCACTTCATTGGATAAGAAACTACAAAGGAACTTGAGAAACAACACTCGTGTTTGGAAAGAAATAACAAGTAAAGTTCAAGGCTTTATTGGCTTCATTGCGCCTGAGGCTGAGATACTTGACGATGGCGCACGTTCTTCTCATCTGTTTCCTCTCTGCTCTGTAGTATCACATCCTCTTCCTCTTTGTTCTCTTCAAACTCTTTGCTCTCGTCTTCCTTTCCGTTGTCTTCCTCAGTGTCACCATCCTTGCCTTGTCTTGAGTCTTCTCCTTCACAATGTGCCTGCTTTTTGTCTTCTTCTGTTTTATGTGTGGTGTGACAGTGGCCAGCTTCCTCCATCCTAACGTTGTCCACTCCATCAGCACCACTTGCACCAGCCTTGCTCTCATCTGGTGTCTCTTGGTCTTTCTCACTCTTATTTATCTTCCCCCCCCTTTGTTGACAATCTCAAAACTGTCCATGTCTGGGCTAGAGTCTTGAGACTTGCCTTTCTGCTCCTAAATAAGAGATAATAAAACAAAAATGATCATTATGAACAGTTCTTTGTACACTACCTCCATTATACCATTGCCAATAATCCTGTATCTGACAGGAAATGGATCATATATATCCCTTCTCCCTCTCCTCCACAACAGCATAATTTATACAATGTATTCTCATATGTGGAGGATAAAAAGGTCAGTAAGATTCTGCTACTGCTTCTCATGTACAAAAGACAGAAACTTGCAGAGACTACAGTAAACTCTGTCCAATCTGAGCTGACAGAAGACATGGGGCTTTTTTAGTTTGATTGTTTTATCCATAAGTGGTGGAAACACTTTTGAAACCATGCCCCTCCTTAGCCAAACTGGAGACATGAAATTGAAGCAATCCTCATCCTCATCCTCCATAAGTCTCGGCCTATGAGTGACCACTGTGGGAATAGCTCAGCAAACATCATTTCCAGCTCATGGATAATGCATCCAGTTGTAGATCTGTAACTTGACTGACGAATAATGAGAGTTTGCTTTTGAGTCAAGTGGCAAATAAGCCCTGACGTGTGGTGTGCAAGTTGATGTTATGCCTTTGAACACCTTTGAACCCCACCCCACCAGGATGTAGTCCCATGTACCGGGTGGTGTACCTAGCTTAGTCTGGATTATCTCTACCTCACCCAACCAGGATGTAGTCCCATGTACCGGGTGGTGTACCTAGCTTTAGTCTGGATTATCTCTACCCTACCCCACCAGGATGTAGTCCCATGTACTGGGTGGTGTACCTGGCTTTAGTCTGGATTATCTCTACCCTACCCCACCAGGATGTAGTCCCATGGGTGGTGTACTGGGTGGTGTACCTGGATGTTCCCAGTCTGGATTATCTGGATTACCCTACCCCACCAGGATGTAGTCCCATGTACTGGGTGGTGTACCTGGCTTTAGTCTGGATTATCTCTACCCTACCCCACCAGGATGTAGTCCCATGTACTGGGTGGTGTACCTGGCTTTAGTCTGGATTATCTCTACCCCACCCCACCAGGATGTAGTCCCATGTACTGGGTGGTGTACCTTTAGTCTTTAGTCTGGATTATCTCTACCCTGGCTTTAGTCTGGATTATCTGTACCCACCCCACCAGGATGTAGTCCCATGTACTGGGTGGTGTACCTAGCTTTAGTCTGGATTATCTCTACCCTACCCCACCAGGATGTAGTCCCATGTACTGGGTGGTGTACCTGGCTTTAGTCTGGATTATCTCTACCCTACCCCACCAGGATGTAGTCCCATGTACTGGGTGGTGTACCTGGCTTTAGTCTGGATTATCTCTACCCTACCCCACCAGGATGTAGTCCCATGTACTGGGTGGTGTACCTAGCTTTAGTCTGGATTATCTCTACCCTACCCCACCAGGATGTAGTCCCATGTACTGGGTGGTGTACCTACCTTTAGTCTGGGTGGTTATCTCTACCCTACCCCTACCAGGATGTAGTCCCATGTACTGGGTGGTGTACCTGGCTTTAGTCTGGATTATCTCTACCCTACCCCACCAGGATGTAGTCCCATGTACCGGGTGGTGTACCTAGCTTTAGTCTGGATTATCTCTACCCTACCCCACCAGGATGTAGTCCCATGTACTGGGTGGTGTACCTAGCTTTAGTCTGGATTATCTCTACCCTACCCCACCAGGATGTAGTCCCATGTACTGGGTGGTGTACCTGGCTTTAGTCTGGATTATCTCTACCCTACCCCACCAGGATGTAGTCCCATGTACCGGGTGGTGTACCTAGCTTTAGTCTGGATTATCTCTACCCCACCCCACCAGGATGTAGTCCCATGTACTGGGTGGTGTACCTGGCTTTAGTCTGGATTATCTCTACCCCACCCCACCAGGATGTAGTCCCATGTACTGGGTGGTGTACCTGGCTTTAGTCTGGATTATCTCTACCCCACCCCACCAGGATGTAGTCCCATGTACTGGGTGGTGTACCTGGCTTTAGTCTGGATTATCTCTACCCCACCCCACCAGGATGTAGTCCCATGTACTGGGTGGTGTACCTAGCTTTAGTCTGGATTATCTCTACCCTACCCCACCACCAGGATGTAGTCCCATGTACTGGGTGGTGTACCTAGCTTTAGTCTGGATTATCTCTACCCCGACCCACCAGGATGTAGTCCCATGTACTGGGTGGTGTACCTGGGTATGGTCTGGATTATCTCTACCCTACCCCACCAGGATGTAGTCCCATGTGCGGGTGGTGTACCTGGGTATGGTCTGGATTATCTCTACCCCACCCCACCAGGATGTAGTCCCATGTACCGGTGGTGTACCTGGCTTTAGTCTGGATTATCTCTACCCTACCCCACCAGGATGTAGTCCCATGTACCGGTGGTGTACCTGGCTTTAGTCTGGATTATCTCTACCCTACCCCACCAGGATGTAGTCCCATGTACTGGGTGGTGTACCTGGCTTTAGTCTGGATTATCTCTACCCCACCCCACCAGGATGTAGTCCCATGTACTGGGTGGTGTACCTGGCTTTAGTCTGGATTATCTCTACCCTACCCCACCAGGATGTAGTCCCATGTACGGGTGGTGTACCTGGCTTTAGTCTGGATTATCTCTACCCTACCCCACCAGGATGTAGTCCCATGTACTGGGTGGTGTACCTGGCTTTAGTCTGGATTATCTCTACCCTACCCCACCAGGATGTAGTCCCATGTACTGGGTGGTGTACCTGGCTTTAGTCTGGATTATCTCTACCCTACCCCACCAGGATGTAGTCCCATGTACTGGGTGGTGTACCTGGCTTTAGTCTGGATTATCTCTACCCTACCCCACCAGGATGTAGTCCCATGTACTGGGTGATGTACCTGGCTTTAGTCTGGATTATCTCTACCCTACCCCACCAGGATGTAGTCCCATGTACTGGGTGGTGTACCTGGCTTTAGTCTGGATTATCTCTACCCTACCCCACCAGGATGTAGTCCCATGTACCGGGTGGTGTACCTAGCTTTAGTCTGGATTATCTCTACCCCGACCCACCAGGATGTAGTCCCATGTACTGGGTGGTGTACCTGGGTATGGTCTGGATTATCTCTACCCTACCCCACCAGGATGTAGTCCCATGTACCGGGTGGTGTACCTGGGTATGGTCTGGATTATCTCTACCCCACCCCACCAGGATGTAGTCCCATGTACTGGGTGGTGTACCTGGCTTTAGTCTGGATTATCTCTACCCTACCCCACCAGGATGTAGTCCCATGTACTGGGTGGTGTACCTGGCTTTAGTCTGGATTATCTCTACCCCACCCTGATTATCTCAACACCCCACCAGGATGTAGTCCCATGTACTGGGTGGTGTACCTAGCTTTAGTCTGGATTATCTCTACCCACCCCCACCAGGATGTAGTCCCATGTGCCGGTGGTGTACCTGGCTTTAGTCTGGATTATCTCTACCCTACCCCACCAGGATGTAGTCCCATGTACCGGGTGGTGTACCTGGCTTTAGTCTGGATTATCTCTACCCTACCCCACCAGGATGTAGTCCCATGTACTGGGTGGTGTACCTGGCTTTAGTCTGGATTATCTCTACCCTACCCCACCAGGATGTAGTCCCATGTACTGGGTGGTGTACCTGGCTTTAGTCTGGATTATCTCTACCCTACCCCACCAGGATGTAGTCCCATGTACTGGGTGGTGTACCTGGCTTTAGTCTGGATTATCTCTACCCTACCCCACCAGGATGTAGTCCCATGTACTGGGTGGTGTACCTGGCTTTAGTCTGGATTATCTCTACCCTACCCCACCAGGATGTAGTCCCATGTACCGGGTGGTGTACCTAGCTTTAGTCTGGATTATCTCCACCCACCCCCACCAGGATGTAGTCCCATGTACTGGGTGGTGTACCTGGGTATGGTCCACCACTTTGTTCTGTACCAGCCGCATGGCCTTGAGGATCTGCGTCATCTGTGATTCTGTTTCCTCCAGTCGTCGCTGCAACTCTTTCATCTCTGCTTCACCTGGTGATGTAATACCATATTTAAAAAAACAGAAACATGCAAGTCAACATACAAGAATGTAGAATATTAAAAGCACATAATCCAGCAAGAATGAAAGTGTAATTTCAATTGATGACCATCCCACTCATCAGTAATAAAATAAATTCTGCACTAATGGACATGCCTTCGACACACACTCCTATTGCAGGCCATTTAGTACAGAAAGAAATCACTTCCTGTTTGTGAAACACATGTCTAATGTAAATAACATTTAAAGAAAGAGTCCCTTATCACAACTAGTCATATAAGAATGGCAAGTGCATTTTCTGTTGAATATATAAACTTCAGAAAAACAGATGCCCTCTGCAATACCTGCAGTACACAAGTTTATGCAGAAGGTCCCACACCTCAAGCTATAAGCACTTCTGGATGAATGAACACGGCCATCAAATGTTGCAACTGACCTCAATAGATCTGTGTTTCAATATCAGTTGCAACTATTTCACAAATATTCCGAAAGGGACACAGTAAAAATACTAAATATGATTAAAATTGCAGAATTTTGAAAAAAACAAAAACAAAAATGTTGCATATGCTAACATTTGAAAGTTATCAAAGGTTTCTCTCTTTTCAAACATAAATATTAAAATCATACATCATACCCTTGACTTACATATGACCACAATACTATAGTTTTAGTGAAAATGGTAAACATAATCTTACTAATAACGAGATAGTCTGATATACTATAATATATCTAATATATTTGATATATATACACTTAACCTGTAAATTATGCAATGGCTTACTGTTATATTTATCTGTAATCCTAACTCTGTTCTCTCAACCAGAAAGAAACAATGTCACAAATTAATAGCCCAACAAGATGTGTATTGTTGTGAAGATTTCTTGCACAACCTCCGTTTTATGGGAGCTGGAAACAGAAGCCTGAAGACCTTTCCACGAGACTACAACGCAGCTGTCCGTCACTATGGGAACTCAGGTGTCCCTCGGCAACTGTCTAATGTTCTGTTGCAATGGTTGGTTGGTTGTTTAATGCTGCACTCAGCAATATTCCAGCTATATGGCAGTGGTCTGTAAATAAACAAGTCTGTGCCAGACAATCCAGTGATCAACATCATGAGCTTCATACTACGCAATTGGGATATAATGGCATGTGTCAACCAAACCAGCATGGTCAGTGAGCCTGACAACCCGATCCTGTTAGTCTGCTGCTAATGTCAGAGGGAAACAAATGTTACATGGAGATGCAAATCCTGAAGGTCCATGCTGCTCATGCCACTTGAATGGTAACCGAGATGGATTATCTAGCTATATGAAAAGAGACTCTAAATAATAGAGTCTCCACTAGACAATCAAGTGATCAGTGGTATGAGCATCAATCTATACTATTGGGATATGATGACATGACTCAACCAAGTCAGAGAGCCTGACAACTAGAGCTGTAACGATTCATCGAACTATCAATGGATTGCAATTGTTGAGTCTCTGATAACAATTAATCGATTGTAGAAACGAAAAACTATCGATGCATCGATGGTATGTGTGATTACCGATAGTTTAGTAATTGACTTCCATTGATAAATGCGCAGCGTAAAATACAGGAAGTACCAGATTCGTTCACTTTGATTTAGAGTTATCCATCCATGTTATGTTTTAACTGTTTATTAGCTCCGGGTTTCAAGTTTCTTGTCAGTCATTAAACGAGACTGAAACTATATCAACTTGTTTTTATTTCATATGAACTATATATTCATTTGGGAATTGACTTCAAATGAGACAATTCAAAGAGAAAAAAACACAATAGTATGTTGCAACAGACTAATGCTATCACAATAGTTGTTTCCCCCTCAATAGTCACCCCTACTGACCACAACAGATGCCAACATGTTTGTCTTGAACAGATAATCTCTTCTTGGGGACCAGGGCCCCGTTCCTCAAAGCGATCGTAGCGATAAGGGGATCGTAACTCCCATACTTTAACATAGACTTACAACTGTCGTAGCGCTCTACGATCGCTTTGAGGAACGGGGCCCTGAACACAAGGAAAGAGAACCCTGGCTTTATTGGCTTTGACAGCAGCTGAAACACTTTGCTTCTCTTCTAGAATGTCTACATTGGATATGTGGTGATGTTATTAATGGATGTGCTAAGTGAATGGAAAACCTGTACCTGTGACAGTGTATTCGTATTGTAGCTGCCAATCAAAGGAAAATTTAGAGGGGAGGTGTCCTAACTAGATGTCCACCGGGGAAATGCCAGTCCTGCAACACCTATCTATGATTAAGTGATGATCTTGAGGGCACTGTGATCGATCAAGTGAAGAGCTGATTGTCCACCAAGAAAGGACCAAGATTTGACATAATCAATTATCTTGTTCAGCATCCGAGTTTCAAGCAGTGATGAAAGCCTGGTTCCTCATCATTGTGACAGGGGCTAGCATTACATGCTGGTCATAGCATAAGGTCTTGATTTGGGTGACCTGCTACTAAAGGATAAATCTCAGATGTTAAAGAGTACGGCTGGCATGACAAAAAACCTTATCTAAGGCCTTCCAGAGTGCCACCACAGATTAACTGTACTAGTTCTGTGACAGGAAATGACTGTGCAGCTCTGCGTTTCCCTGGTTTTAGGTAGAGACTCCTGTGCCATTCTGCATCATATGTATGATGTACATCATCAAAGCATTCAGGATAATTTCATCAGTGGGCGTCACTTACAACTTCTAGTCACCAGCTGTCATGATGGGGTCATATAGGCAGTGGTGTAAGTCTGACTATCAAAGAAGTGAATGACGATCTCTGTTGGGAAAATCAGTGTACGAGACATCACTGCCAGTACTGACTGACTGACTGACTGACTGAGTTTGGTTTTACGCCGCTTTTAGCAATATTCCAGCAATATCACGGCGGGGGACACCAGAAATGGGCTTAACGCATTGTGCCCATGTGGGGAATCGAACCCGGGTCTTCGGCGTGACGAGCCAACGCTTTAACCACTAGGCTACCCCACCGCCCCCACTGCCAGTACAGCCAGACCAGTCAGAACACTATCCAACTAATTGGCACTCACCTGCCATAGTCTAGTTACCCAGAACTCTATCAGTCTGACACCATCTTAGCATGGAGAATGTTGACAAGCTACTGGAACAATGCTCCATCTGAAGTAGTAGGTGCTGGATGGCACAGCAGTAGTAGTAGTAGTAGTAGTAGTAGTAGTAGTAGTAGTAGAAGAAGGTGAGATGAGGTGAGGTGAGGTGAGGTGAGGTGAAATTGGGTTTAACGTCGTGCTTGAGAATATTTCGCTCATATGACGACGTGCATGCGTGTGTATGTGTGGCTGCTTGTACTAGCCCAGACTGAAGCTGGTTTTATAGTGCTAGCCCACTGAGATACCATGCCGCAGTGAAGCATGAATACCCCACTCAGACACATTATACTGACTCCGAGCCGACCAGTCCTTGTTGTACCCATTAATGCCGAGCGCCAGGCAGGGACCAACAAGTACCATATTTTAACGTCTTTTGGTATGACGCGGTCGGGGATCGAAACCGGGCGGCCGCTCTAACCACTACACCACGGAAGCGGTCAATAGAAGAAGACAATAACATAGTCAGAGGATGGGTATATAGATAAAATAGATCAGCAGATAAAGGGATGAAAACACAGATATCATCCATTGACTTGGCTATTAACCATGTTATCAGTAAATGTACGAGCTAACACACTAGTGTATAGTAGTGCCCTGTGGTCTACAAGCCAGTGTCACTATAACATATAACAGAAGGAACATTCCACAAGTCACAGTAATCAATAGACAAACCAACAAAAGAAATGATCAGAAGAAAAAGTGCAAACATTAAAGGTGAATGAATTAAGTAAGAATTAATACCCTCAAACAAGCATAAAACAAATTGGAAACAACAATGAAAATGACACAAAGAAACAAATGGCTACCTGACTGATATAAGAATTTCAAAGAAGAAATCTCAACAACCCACCCAAAACAACAAAATCTGAAGTGATAACCTACAGCCTAAGCTAATAATCACATATATGACCCAAGAAAAGAGAAGAAAAATCAGAAATAAAGCCCAAACAAAGCTGTATAAACGGTAAAATAGCTATGCATGAAAACAAGGAGAGTGTTGTGTTGAGCTTGGGTCACATGGTGTCTGGTGGTAGGCATGTTATAGTGAATATTTTAAGGAAGTGTTTTCTCTGGGAAAGAGATTTCCATTGGGATTACATTCCAATGCAACAGCAAGAGAGTGCATTTTATGTAATACAGGATCAGTTACAAATTAGACGGTTTAGGTCATAGCTCCAGATAATTTTTCAAGCAATTGTTTGTTTATGTATGAGTAATTGCATTTTCTGAGCATTTTGTATACTTCCACTAGTTTAAAGATTTGAGTACTTTTACACAAGAGTTTTTCATCCTTATTGAGTAATTAACACTTCTAAATATATAAATGCTTCTCAATAGACATAAGTTTTAGTAATTCTTATATTGCCAAATAGTTGCAATCCATTTCTCAGCACTAAGATTTCATCTGTATTTTGACTAATCAAACATTTATAAATCAATATTATTCTTCATTCAAATTGTAAATCAGACAATCCCTAAAGTTTGACTGCCAGCTGTTGTAGAGTTCGAGCGCCACGACGAATGTATCATACGCAAGCCAATTTAGTAAATTGAGTAAAGTACGCATGGTATTATAGACCTATTGAGTTTTAAGTGATTCTTAGGCATTTTTAGTACTCCCAGATTTGTAATTAATTGAGTAAGTGTGATTTTTATTGCATAAAATACACAAATATGTGCCTTATCTGGAGCTCTGTTAGGTATCCATAGGACTAGTACTGTTTAACAAAAATGAATAATATTTGTAAACTTTGCCTATGTGTATTGTCATGATAACTCATAAACAAAAGAAGGTTCTGGCACAGTAGAAGTTCTGAAAACAGGGTAGAGAGTTTTCAATACTTGAAGACAGTTATTAGTCTGTCACTGTCTAATACTAACTGACTTCTAGGTTGATCTGTAGAAACTATGATTGCAAATATAAGTTAATTTCAAAAGTAGAATTACAGAATTTTGTGAAAGCAATTGCTACAGTAAAGAATTGAAACTGTGTGTCGGATTTATTGAAAGACTAAAGGCAGTGTTTATCACAAAATATATTCTCCACATTTTCATGATACAGTCTCCAAAGTTGACAGATTAGATTCTTACTGATGCTTTTATCATCTGCTTTCAGCAACAGATTTTCAAGTTCCTTCTTCTTGTCCTTGCTTATTATGCTGTTGAAATCTTGTGTCTTGAGTGGGTCGAGTGGAGTTTGGGACAAGGGATTGCTGTAGGCAGCCTGAGTTTCAGTGAGGCAGCCCCAGCTACCACCAGATTCCAACTCTTTATCCTTCTTTCCAAACACCTGAAAACAATGTCCATGACCTATTTAGAGAACATTAGAGGCAGTGTATATACAACCAACACAGTTTCACGGTGACTCATAGTACCCTGGCCCCATAGTAGTGCTACAACTGTCGTAAGTCTATGCAACAGTATAGGAGGTACGATTGCTATGAGAAAAGTTACGAGATCTTAGGCCTAGCGAATGAAGATATGTCAATTTCTGTAGCTCAGTGATCTTGGTTTAATATGTACAACAATTCTTGGTTACTTAAGATACAAAAGTCTATAACAGCATACCTATAATATGAACCTCACTAACAGAACTAATGTGCATAACAATGACTGTTTGAACTGTTTGAGAGGCATTCTGGAAGTTGTAAGTAATAGGAATGACAAGTCTTTGTGGATGATCAACTTAACAAAGAAGTTGATCATCCATAAAGACTTGCCATTCCTAATGACTTTTTGCTTGATATGCAGGTATAATCTTGCTTGTGTCTTCTAAAGTCGCTTATCTTTTCTCATCTGATCTGGGTGTCTAGTTTGTTAAGCAACAGGGACAAAGAAATAAAATATCAATAATAAACAAGAGTCATCAGAAGATGACATATCCCCCCGGCCCCCACATCTTTGAAAGAACAAATCATCTGACAGTTACTTAAAGTCCAGCTTGATTTTACACTATAGTTTGGCATGAAATGCATGTGGAACCGTTTTTTTGTAAATATCTCTTCATCCAATGACCCAATCGATCTCAAACTGTGCAAGTGGATGTTTTGTCAGACAACCTAATCACATTGTCAATCACCGATTTTATGCATTTGTATTAAAGAAACTGTCTATGTAACTGTCAACAAAATAAACAGCAGAACGCAGATGGCTTGCAGAGGGAGGGAGCCAATGACCTGTAACAGCGGCAGTGTTGGGTCATAAAGGTAAATGCACGTGCAGTTCATGATAGTTACCTGTGCACTGCACAGTGATAGACCGTTTGGATCATTCACATTGACTACTGCTAGCTGTCATCATGAAAGCTTATTCAGATGATGCTAAACGTTTAATTAGAAATGTGTAGAATTTTTTTTGAAAAGAGAGCAAACGTAGCAAACCGATTTATAAGGTGTCGGATTACATGAAACATACAACTTGCTCTTAGCATGAAAAAGAACATCGTGCTAAAAATTGTGAAAAATAAACCAACAACCAATAAACAAAACCTTGTACAAAAAGGTAGGCATCCAAAGTTAGATTCCTTTGACATCAGGGTCATCAGAGATGTCATTCGCCGGCTATTTGCTAGAAATGAACACCTGTCCACAAGAAAGTTAAAACACATCCTTGCAGAGGATCACGACATTAATGTTTCTAGGTTTATGCTAAGCAAACTACTGCTCAAATTTGGATACAAGTACAAGAAGGAAGCAAACCAGAAACTTGTAATGTGTGAGAGATCAGATATTGTGAAAATAAGGTGTAACTATCTGAGAGAAATTAAGCAGGCAAGAGAGGGTGGGTTCGAACCCATATATCTGGATGAGACCTGGGTCAATGCAAACCATACTGCTGCCAGACAGTGGCTACCCAGTGATGGTAGGAAAATAATTATGTCAAATATTTAGGTGTGTATACAGAAAAAGTGGAAGGAGAGTATTGAAAGGTTTTTTAAAGTTCTGCTCCAGAAAGGAGCACTATCACCAATTTCAGTCTATGTCAAACTTGTTGCCATGGAAATGCCAAAAATATTTTATTCAGAAATCCAAAACTACCAAAAGGCACCAGTATATCACCAGATCTATGTATGTGCCAAGTTTGTTGATGAAACATTGAACGGTTTTAGAGTTCTGCTCCGGAAAAGACAAATGTGCACGGACGGACGGACGCACGCACGGACGGAGTCCATTTTAATACCCCCCGCAAAACGCGTTGCAGGGGATAATTATCATGAAAATATAAATATTAACAATCTATATGCTTAAAGCTATTAGAAATGCATTGCTTAATTTGGAATGGGAACGACATCAAAACATAACACTTTTGTCTTCATTCTATTTTTTCTTCAATGAGTGTGCATGATTGTGTGTTCTTGTGTCCGAGGGGAACGGGGCTTTAACAGTTGAGTTCTAACCATATGTGGTCCGATTAATGATTTAGTGTAAATATACTTTCAGTGCTCTTTAAATGCATTTCCACTTAGGTACTGCATAAACAAAATAGGACATTAACATTACAAATTTAAAGAATAATTCTCACTAATGGGTTTTGTGGTTAATGTTGAACAACTCAGAGAAACAAACTCCGTATGATGGTTAACAGTTGGCACCCACCTTACCCTATTCACGACCTGTGACACCTCTTCATACCTGTCACGTGCATAGCTGACCTACATTGACGAACGTTGACCTTTATGACCCAACACTGCCGCTGTTACAGGTCATTGCCTCCCTCCCTCTGCAAGCCGTCTGCGTTCTGCCGTTTATTTTGTTGACAGTTACATAGACAGATTCTTTAATACAAATGCATAAAGTGGGTGATTTACAATGTGATTAGGTTGTCTGACAAAGCATTCACTTGCACAGTTTGAGATCGATTGGGTCATTGGATGAAGAGATATTTACAAAAAAAACGGTTCCACATGCATTTCATGCCAAACTATAACTGCAAATCGTTTCCATGGAAATGATGAAAAACACAAATGACAAAAATCTGCAAATAGCAAAAGGCACCACTTCAAGATCTGCCTCACATATCTGCCAAGTTTTACTGAAATATATTAAGAAGTTTTTGAAACGAAACCCACCCCTCCCTTTTGAGACTAAGTCTAAATCGTTTCCATGGAAACCTAGAAAAACAAGAGTCACCAGAAGATGACATATCCCCCCGGCCCCCACATCTTTGAAAGAACAAATCATCAAACACTTACTTAAAGTCCAGCTTGATTTTAGACTAAGTACAAAGCGTTTCCATGGAAATCATGACAAAAATAAATCACAAAAATCTGCATATAGCAAAAGGCACCACTTCAAGATCTGCCTCACATATCTGCCAAGTTTTACTGAAAGATATTAAGAAGTTTTTTAGTTGTGCTCTGGAAACGAAACCTACCCCGCCATTTCGAGACTAAGTCTGAATTGTTTCCATGGAAACCGAGAAAAATAAAAATGACAAAAATCTGCAAACAGCAAAAGGCACCACTTTGGGATCTGCTTAACATATCTGCCAAGTTTTGCCGCAAGATATTAAGAAGTTTTTTAGTTGTGCTCCGGAAACGAAACCTACCCCGCCATTTCGAGACTAAGTCTGAATTGTTTCCATGGAAACCGAGAAAAATAAAAATGACAAAAATCTGCAAACAGCAAAAGGCACCACTTTGGGATCTGCTTAACATATCTGCCAAGTTTTGCCGAAAGATATTAAGAAGTTTTCGAGTTGTGCTCCGGAAACGAAACCCACCCCTCCCTTTGGGGACTAACGTTTCCATGGAAACCCGGAAAAATAAAAATGACAAAAATCTGGAAATAGCAAAAAGCACCACTTAAGGTTCTGTTTGATATATCTACCAAGTTTTGTTGAAAAATATTGAACGGTTCTTGAGTTGTGCTCCGGAAACGAAACCCACCCCTCCCTTTTGAGACTAAGTCCGAATCGTTTTCATGGAAACCGGGAAAAATAAAAATGACAAAAATCTTGAAATAGCAAAAGGCACCAGTTAAGGTTCTGTTTGATATATCTACCAAGTTTTGTTGAAAAATATTGAACGGTTTTCGAGTTGTGCTCCGGAAACGAAGCCCACCCCTCCCTTTTGGGACTAAGTTCGATTTGTTTCAATGGAAACCAGGAAAAATAAAAATGCCAAAATTCTGCCAAATAGCAAAAGGCACCACTTTGGGATCTGCCTCACATAGCTGCCAAGTTTTACTAAAGATATTAAGAAGTTTTCGAGTTGTGCTCCGGAAACGAAGCCCACCCCTCCCTTTTGGGACTAAGTTTGATTTGTTTCCATGGAAACCAGGAAAAATAAAAATGACAATAATCTGTAAATAGCAAAAGGCACCACCTTAGGTTATGTTTGACATATCTACCAATTTTTGTTTAAAAATATCGAACAGTCTTTGGGTTATGCTCCAGAAACAAAATGATTACATACGGACGGACGTGCGGACAGACGGACGAGGCGATGACTATATCCCCCCGCATTACATGCCCCTAGAATGAATAGACTGATAATGCTCCTGTTATTTCCACTGCTGGTGACACCTGTGACTAGCATCAGCAGGGTTAATAGTGCAGACGTACAGAATGTAATGTACAGTCATCTGGCAAGGAACAAGCGAGTCAAGTTGTTTTTAGGTTTAGTGTTTTAGTGTTTGAGTCAGGATAGGTATAAAATAATATTGTTACATATTTTTCCTCATCCTGACTCATATTATTTGCTGGAATCCGTCAGCAGGTGTGGGGCAGTTATCCCTGCCCAAACCATGACCGACCCCCTGCCAAATCGTTTATGCGTGGTCACAGTTGCATCTGTGATTCTCTCTCCATTGAAACGATAAATACTCCGCCGACCATCATGAAAGGACAAATTGAATCTGCTTTCATCTGTGAAGAACACACAAGATCGTTGACATTGATTCCAGTGGCCATGTCTACTCCATCTCAAACACGCCTGTGATGTGGCGTTAGTGGTGGACGAAATGCAGGTTGCCTACAGTGAAGTCCGGCTGCCTTTAAACATTGACGAACACGTTTCACATGTTGGCAAAATAGGCACAAGAAACAAACATCTCCGGGCGTTCTTCGTTACCGCCAGGAGATGTTTGCTTCTTGTGCCTGTTTTGCCAAATATGTGAAACTTGTTTTAAAATCACTGATGTAGCTACGAGATAACTCGTAGTGGCAAATTTGAACAGAATTGATACGACTCTACTCGTGATAGGCAGTCAATGTGTTAAGAAAGTTTGTAAAACATTCAGCTGTATATATTTCAAACAAAAAATGACGATTTTACAACTTTAAAGAAATAGTGTTACCAATGGCTTGGCCCTCTTGTGAAGATAAGCCACAATGGGTTTAGCTACCCGTGAAAACAATCACCATGCCATAGATACCTTTCATTAATAAAGTTGACCTTGGTACATGAAGCACAGAAATCTAATGGAATAATGATCTTGAAGATCGATGCTAGCTAGGTAATCATTTGGTCTTATCAGTTGTCTCAAATCTGGATGGTGAAGCATCTTGAACTTCTTAATTAAATGCCAACATTAACAAACATAATCCATAGATATGATGAACAAGGTCTAAAAAGATAATCCAAGCCAGGAATTTCGAAAATACTTTACAATTTTGATACAATGGCTTGGATTAACAAACACAGATAAATTCCCTCAACCATCCTGTTGGATGAAAACTGAGAGAGTGACAAGTCACTGACTGGTCACCCGAGGAGCTGGTGAGCACGTGGAGCAGTGTGTTTGGGTGAGGTGTTTCACTGTTCATGGGGGAACATGTTTCCATTACATCTCGGGTTAAGGGAAGGAGAAGCAAATATAATTAGTCAGGATAAGGGGAACAGTAAGTAATGATGAAATCAAGAAAGTTTTTCAGCCTCAAATACACATGTTCGGAAATGTAGACACTTAGTCTTGCCCCCAAAAAACTTAGGGTTGACATTCTTTAAATACATGTTCTAATGGCAACAATGAACTGCTCCTATGGCTAATGTCACGTCATCTGTCAATGCTGGTTACCTTCACAAGGGTATAGACGAGATACAGGACAATGCCCACTGCATACATGGGCAGGACAATACCCATCATGCCACGCCCACCTCCATGCTGAGTTTGCTGTCGTTGCATCTCTGCTGCTGCTCGCATGCCAGGGTGGGGACCAGGCTGACAAACAACAAATCATTCACATTGGACTTTGATCAATTGAATAATGCATACAAATTTCTAATGAACAATACCCAATAGTTTTCATCCAAAATAGCACTTATGTTCAACTTTAAACATTCCGATCTTCCTTAAACTTAAACATGTTGGTTTTCCTTGCTTGCTTTTATTTCTTTGTAACTGAGTCGTGGTACATCATAAGTCTAAGTTTGTATGCTATGCACTTGTTTTTGAGCTGCTACAGGAAAAGTATAGGCAAGTCATCTTCTAAAATGTATAGATGTTGTCCCTGTCCGGGTTTGTCTTAGGCATCATTAACAGTCATAGCCAAATTCAGTGCCAATATACCATTGCAAAGGGATAGTTTATGGAATATATGTACTAACCCGCCCGAGAGAGACGGATGTGTGATGTTGAATCTATATTAAGGCTACTGTATTGTAGACTATCTAAATGTTGTTACTGTTATCACTGTTTGGTCCAGAAACGTTTCAGGTCAAGTTTGGATCCCTATTGCATGTATTAGTAATGATTGTCTGCCTAAAGCATTAAAGAATGTCCTCTGCTTCTATCTACCATAATAACAATGCTATACGCAGTTCCCATTTAATGACCTTGATCCATAATCTGTCACAAGCAGCTAGAAAACTTTAAACTGAAAGCACATTTGGTGTTACAAATTCACAGTCACATGGCTTCACATATGACGAGTATAGGAAAAAATGCTTTCAAAATTTTGTACACTGAAAAGTGTTTTGCATTATCATCAAATACACACGCATATTCATTTTTCACAATAATATTTCTGATGGCCTTGCCTCCATTGGATCTTATCCAACTGTTTGTTTGTTGTTTAATGCCACAATCAGCAAAATCCCTGCCTTATCACAACGGCCTGTAAATAATCAAGCTGGAAACAGAAATCCAGTGTGTGATAACATTCAGCAACAATTCTCACCACCAGGATCTGTGCGGACCCAGGGTAGAATGTGCCAGGAGTTTGGTGACAACCGAATTGGGCTAACATTAAGATTTGGGTTAGAGCTGATTTTCAGTGGCACATACTTGTACAAGATAACTCATGGGATCAGGTAATGAGACTTTGTTGGTGCATGTCATTCTATCTAAGCGGAGATGTGAATCACTAGATTGTCTTGTCCAGATTTGACTTACAGAATGTTGTTGTATGGCTGGAATACTGCTGATTGTGGTATGAAACAGCAAACAAAACACTGTTGATAAACCAAGAACATAAAACTCAAGTTATTGTGTACAGAAACATCTAGCCTAGTTCAAGTCAGCTGCTTAATTAAATATTGAATAATGTCCACACTCAACATGCTCAACTGACCCTCATGTGTTGTCTGTGATCGCCTCCCTGATGTCCCATGTGTGGCGGGAGCCGGTCTTCAGGTCGAATGCCTGAGCGCGTATTCCGTCCAGGGGGAGTATCTGCAGATTAAAGCACCATACATGATGCCTAGGAACAAATAAGAGCCAAACAAATAGCACGATGATAGTTGGATATATCACGTATATCGTTCCACTCTTGATCACATTACAGAGAAGTTTGTTTAAACTAGCAAACCTTTCAACATATCATCATTTATACAAGTGTTTTTTCCACTTCTTGCTGTGATATTGCTGAAATATTGCTAAAGGTGGTGTAAAACCAAACTGATTTACTTTTCCATGTACAGACTAATTTTTCTCTATATATATATGACAAAGGAAGAGAATTTTTTTGGATGTCAACTTCTTTATTATGAGGAAAACAATGTTTTGGAGTATATCATTACTCCTACATCAGGTGAAGACTTCGGAGGATATCCTTACTCCTACATCAGGTGAAGACTTCAGAGTATATCCTTACTCCTTCATTAGGTGATGACTTTGGAGTATATCCTTACTCCTTCATCAGGTGATGACTTCGGAGTATATCCTTACTCCATCAGGTGATGACTTCGGAGTATATCCTTACTCCTTCATTAGGTGATGACTTCGGAGTATATCCTTACTCCATCAGGTGATGACTTCGGAGTATATCATCACTTGATGAAGGAGTAAGGATATACTCAGAAACATTGTGTTCCTCATGATAAAGAAGTTGACATCCATAAAAATTCTCTTCCTTATGTGTTTCACTTCTAAATGCCATTCAAAGACCTATATATGACAAACTGAAGTGATCGGCACAGTTGAAATGCACTTACGCTCTGTTGATCACTTCTGGCTTGGCCATTCACTGTTTACATTTACCACATCTTAGGTTTGAATACTTTCTGTCAATTAGTATAGTTAGCAGAACAACAATCTGCACTGCTATTATATCTCTGTCAGCATGCATATTAAGGACTGACTGTATTTTATTGGTTGACTGTTGTATGAATAAGAAAACTGATGTCCAAACTGTATGTATCTTTCGAACAAAGGTTTGCACATTGTTTTGTTTTTTCATACTTCAACATGACTGACTGAGTTTGGTTTTACGCCGCTTTTAGCAATATTCCGGCAACATCACGGCGGGGGACACCAGAAATGGGCTTCACACATTGTACCCATGTGGGGATTCGAACCCGGGTCTTCGGCGTGACGAGTCAACGCTTTAACCATTAGGCTACCCCATCGCCCTTTCATACTTCAAAGAATCAACACAATTACAGGGTCAAATCTTATAAATAAATTTGATGTCAAAACTAGTGGTACTGACAATAGTTCAATCAAAGACAATTGTATGACTAAAATCAGACAAAAATAACAAGATCTACAAACATTCCAGGTCAAGGAATACATAATGTGACGTGACATGAATCAGGTGATGTAATAACATGATTACGCTATGCATATAATTACATTTTGGTAATAGTTACTAAATGTTTTTATGGCAGGTGTGCTATTTTAAATTTATGATTTTACCTACCTTCATATGTGTAAGTGCACACGCACCTGATTTATCACATAATCGCCACACATGAATTGTTGGATAACAACATGCTGCCAAAAAAGAACAGCTGCCTTCCATATTTACATGAGTATATACCTTGGTAAACATTTCAGTCTGCCTATTGTGCAAAGTCTACTCCCTTACAGTCTACACAGAAATTGGGTAGACATTGTCAGGCAAAAGCTTAAAAAGGAATTGGATCTGCACAGAAAGCCCTTGTTAATTTGAAAGTATCCCTTTTCGATCTAGTTCCAAAGAAACATACTCCAAACCATCCCAGGAAAACAACTGGATGATTTTTTCGTCTAATCGATAATTTGTCCTATCCAAAAGGTGGGTCCATAAATGACCACACAGATCTACAAGCAAGCCTTGTATCTCACACCAAGTTGAAAGGAAGCCATCCAAATGACACAACACATTGGAAGGGGGATACTGTTTGCACAGTTTGACATCAAGTCAGCATTCAGAATTATACCAGTACACTCAGCGGATTTTCAACTGATGGGGATACAATTTGGATGTGAATTCTACTTTGATAAAAGCTTCTACCTCAATGACATTCTGACAGGGGGAAAGGTCAGGCCAATTTACAGACTTTAATGGATGTGCTAACTCACCTACTGACCTAGGTATTCACATTGCTCGGGACAAAACAATTGACCCAGTGTCTCAACTAACATTCAGGGGTCTTGACAAAGACATACTGGCCATGAAGGTGAAAATGCTCAAAGATTCGCAAAATCACTGAACAGATCCTGCATATCCTCACTCCATTTAGTGTTGGGAATTGGTTAAAATCTCATAATTGATGATTGGTTCATTACAACCGATCAATCGTCGAAAATAATTGGTTAGCGTCATTTATCAAATTTTCCTGGTTATGTTTGTTAATGCACAAACAAATTGTTTGTGTTCGATTATGTGAAAACATGATTGCTTGGTCATTTAGTCATTGCGACCAATTCTCGGTTACTTCAATTAATCGGACCACAACTACACCAAATCTAATTCAAAGAAACATTGTTGGGAAATGCAAGCTAGAAATTAAACCTGATGATATAAAAATTGAATGAAAATGCTGGCACTGGTGAAGGGTGGTTTGGACGATCTGGAATATGCTTTCTTGGGGCTGAAGGGGTTATTGTCGAGACTGGTACTTCAGATGTGTACAGAAACATACCCTAGTCAAAATCAGAATACAGAAATGTACCCAAGGATGACTCTATTCTGAACTGTGTCGTTTTCTTGATCGGAACTGTCATACTGTTGTATTATATCATGCATTTGATTGTGTTATTAAGAAACAACCATACACTGTAATGTCTATTTTGCACAATACCACTCGCAATCAGTTGAACAGAAAAAACAACATACAGTTTTGGTTTAGGATTGCGGAATATGGACTCCCCGTTTAGCATGTTTAGGGTACCAAGTACGTTTCTTTATTTTGACTTTGTTTATGGTACTGACTGCCGAACAGTTATCGCCATGATTCCCTTTCCGCCGTATTATATAAAAGCACATCGAACGAGATGGACACATCGTGAGTACCTAATTAAGTATCATAATTAATTTTTTTTTCATTAATGCAATGAACGGCAAAGTCATTTTATAAATACCACTAAAACATAGTAATAATTGTTCGGCAGCCAGTACATTTCTGCATACAGAATATTACCTGAGGTACATATCTGTAGTACCTGTGCCGTCAACGACTCCTATAGCCTTTATTGGGTTTCACCATATTTCTCAGACGGAAGCACTCTATGAAATATGCAGGACACGATCCTAAAGCTAAGATGACTAGGTCGATGATGGTGACCATCATGTTTTGAAGTCTTACTTCACTTGACAAAGTGACTGGGTGACTGTTTTAGCAAATATATTGGAATATTTCGTTACTTGAAATGCGTAATTCATACTAATTCAGTGTATTGTAAACATGGTAAATATTTTGCACCTGATACGTCATCGGAACTCTTTGTTTGAAGTCCACATATCCGCAGCATCATAGGATGAAGAAACCTCGGGTACAGCACGGCAAAACAGCCAATGATGATAGCAAAAGTAGCTACGGTTTTGATAGACGACATGTTGAATAGATTTCTGGTTCTGTATAGACTGCGGTGGTAGTTCTGTTTGGTAGTCAACCGGAAGTACAGATGTGTCGCCGGACAAAAAGCAGCACTAATCGAAAAGGGAACAGGTCAAAATGGTCACACTTTTGAAAAAATGGCCACAACCCCTACTGAAGTAGTCAAAATGGCCATAGACGATCTACCATAAAGTAAAAATGGCCATAATTGATACTTTGAGATTGTACTGTGCGATGTTTTCTTTTATAGTTGTGACTTGATGTAACTGATCTACATTGATGTTATGTAGTAGTAAATTGTACAAAAGTGCATGTACATGAAGAAAGAACCCACTGGTAAAGTATATATGTCTTGTTATTTGTCGAAAATATGATTTGCTGATGTTTAATAAACATCAAGTTTTGTCTGATATAACTTCTTTTGTCATTTTTACTCCTTGATATCAAATAATACAACATAGGAAAATGTTATGAGCATTAAAAAATATATATATAATAATGTATGGCCATTTTGACTTGGATGTTTTATGGCCATTTTGACTTGGATGTTTTATGGCCATTTTGAAGTTTGGCCATTTTGACTAGGACCCATCGAAAATGCACCAAACTGACTTAAACGGGAAAAGAAGGACTAAGTCAAAACGGCTTTTGAGATTAAAGTCAAAAAGACCAAATACTGGAGTATAACAAAAATAAATTCCTTAGTATCATGACATAGCTCTTGCACAGCCGAAACAATAAAACGAGAAACCTTCTGTATTTTTCTTACTTATGAGTTTCAAGGTACTACTGTAAATGTCGTGGGCATGGTGGGCGAGCTGGCTAAGGCGCCAGGCTAGTGATCCAGCCGGCAATAATTCGGTGCGCCTTGTGGCAGTAATAGAGAATACTACACGAGGTCTCATTACATACGAATTAGATCTATACGAAACGAGTGTCCTTCCTATGGTATCTGGCCGAGCGAAAGCGAGGTCAGAAACCATAGGAAGGTCACGAGTTTCGTATAATTCGTGTGTAATGAGACCGAGTGTGGCATTTTATTTATTACCCACGTCTTACATGCATTAAATTGACAAAATAGCGTGTTTTTGTTATGTTTTTGGTTTCAAACCGAAACCGGTTTCATAAAGAGGTTGCGGAAGAGTTTTGTACTGTAGTACAATATTTGCATGACGTCACACTGTAATGACGTCACTGCCTTGGTAACCGACGTCACGATGCATGTCAGTTGTCATTGCCTCGTACAGCCTCCTACAGTAAACTACTCCGTAGCACCTCATTTCTTGGTTTCCAGTTGCTTCATTCGGCTAACATCACTGGTGGAAACATTGCGTTTATGTTTTTCGACGGATATAATGTCTCAGTTCGACTCACAAATCAACAGCGACACGGCAACGTTCGCAATGTTTAAATTCCCACAATGCATTTAAGTTGTAGAATGAATGAATTCACGTGTTTGTTATGAATGAAAAATAGATACGTCAGAATGTGACCTAATTGAGAGGTCATCGGTTATCCAATCAAATCGTTAGAATCTCAGGTCAAGTCGTTAGGATGTGAGGTACGAGATTAGTATGCAACTACCCATACGTTGACCTCGTGGGTAGTAAATAGAGAATACTACACGAGGTCTCATTACATACGAATTATACGAAACGAGTGTCCTTCCTATGGTATCTGACCGAGCGAAAGTCACCAAAAGTCACTGTGTTCTTTAATCTGATTGGTTGATAAACGTGATCAAATGGTATTCGATTCCCGGAAATTCGTTGCGTATTAATACATACAAACATCGCTCGCACCATTGTATTGTTACGTCGTCAGCTGTGATGACGTCATTAAAATCATATTGTGACGTAAAGTCCGAATGACGTCACAAATGAGCAGTCCCAGATGCCACCATGGGAGACAGCAGAAACGGCCGGCTGATGACATTTCATTGCTGTACCCGTACTCGATGTCAATGAGTGCAGACACAAAAACGTGTGTGGACCTTTTGGTTTACTTTTGTGATTTACAATGTTGATAAACATCATGTGTTGGCCAATTTCCGGGTGTTATTGAGTATTTGAAGCACGGGAATATTTCATTTGAAACCTCCGGGAATTCATTTGGAACCGACGGCATCAGCCGGAGGTTTCAAATGAAATATTCCCGTGCTTCAAATACTCAATAACACCCGGAAATTGGCCAACACATGATGTTTATCTCCTAATTAGATCATGAGACAAGATTTATGACGTCATTATGGAGCGTTTGACGTCCCCAATTCGTCAAACACAGTAAAGTTATCCCCTACTTGACCTATTAGTGTACCGGGTGTCGAAGAACCGAGTTCGATTCCCCACATCGGTTCAATGTACGGAGCCCATTTCTGGTATCCACGTAATGACATTGCTAGAATATTGGTAAAAGCGGCGTAAAACTGAATTCACTCATTCACCTCAATTTGTACTGTATATATGGGCTCTGGCTTCAGGCTGATATAGGACACCATGTATCGGCTTCATGTTGTAGAGGGGGAGGTGGGGTAGCCTAGTGGTTAACGCGTTGGCTCGTCATGCCGAAGACCCGGGTTCGATTCCCCACATGGACACAATGTGTTAAGCCCATTTCTGGTGTCCCCCCGCCGTGATATTGCTGGAATATTGCTAAAAGCGGCGTAAAACCATACTCAGTCAGTCAGTCAGTCATGTTGTAGAAATGGTAGGTTAATATTGGAAAGTCATATAGGTAGGGCCCAGCTGTTAAATTTCCGTTAACGATGACAAGTGGAGTTCTGTCTACAAAATTCACACATTTACCCAATTCTTTGTAACAAGCCCATCCCTTACAATCTCAGGCGTATAGTGCAGACCAACAAATCTCATTCTTTGATAAAACCAGTGAAAATACTTATTTCATTGAATTGTCTGCCCCTTTCAGTGTGATTGACAAGATTCAGGAATAAAGATGGCAAATATGTAAACCTGGCCTTTTGAAATGTGTACATCACAAATACATTCGGACTTCCCATTGTTCTGGGTGACATTATAGTTTGACCGGTACTGTACTACTACCCATTTGAGGCCGTTTATGCTAGTAAAATATATGAGCTGTTTTGGCAAAGGGTCGTTTTTAGTAATTAAGATGGCGCTCTCATTGAAGGAACTAGCATCTCTTCTAAGGTATGGGTTGATTTGATTGTATGTACTATGAAGAGTTACTAAAGCACATTATGTTAAAGTTTTCTTACCACATTGTTTATATCGTGTAGGTAGGCGAGCGTAATGGAACAAACAAGGTTTTTCTGAAAAGGCGATCCTGAAAGTTCTATTTTCGATCACATGAGCAAAGGCGGATCCGTAGGCAGAGAGGGTGCAGGGGTACGCACCCCCCTTTTGTCCTGAAAGTTTATTAAACGACCATTGAAATTCTCGTGAAAATGAAGTGTGCCCCCCTGCCCCCCTTTCTCAAGAGTGTGCACCCCTCCTTTCTCAAAAAGCTGTATGATGTGTATCCGCCCCTGCTGAGTAGCTATAGTAGTTCTATTTTCGATCACATGAGTAGCTATCCAGAGCGGAGAGCATGTGTGGTGTTTGTTACAGTAACGAGTGTCAGTTATTTCCAGCGATAAAGCCATACTTTTGAAGCACTTAAATCTAATAGACATTTTTTATGCAGAAAATGCACAGACTACAAGGAAAGTCATACCGATACATAGTACGATGTTGGACCACACATTGTAGTTAGCATCATCAAACCAATGTTTTGGACAGTTTTCCAAGATCTACAATGATCTCTGACACCAACATTTACATGAGCATGCTGCAGACTCTGTTAACAGGCATTCTGTGTGTGAACTCGGATGTAGAGCCTATAATCTTTCACCTACACCAGCGAACTTGCGGTTCAGCTAGGCTCATAATGCCGACCTTTTGACCAAACTTCACGAGTGAAAAAAAGTATCGGCGTCCTGAGGCTAGTTTCATTTTGCCAATTAATAAAGGATTACAAGGACAGTGAGGGATCAACAAGTTGTTAGAAGAGGATAATCCGGATTATTAGAATGAGAGCACACCTTATGAGAAGACAACAACAGTTTATATTTTTATTAGTTTATTCCCAAACTTCAAGCACTCATCAACAAACAGATTTTAACGTTTCTTTACAATGATTCACATAAGTAAATACATGACATATATAATGAATACATCGCAGCCTTTCCACTTGCCATTTCGTTCAAACAAACAAGCAACAAAATATTAACCATTTGGTTCCAGCGTTTTTCCATTAGGGTGGCAGTAAATTTATTAAGCATCTTACTGAAACACTGTTACAAAATTTGGCAAAACTGTGGCAATCACTGAGTAATATTTCTACATATATAAGAATTTTAACTCTTACCTTAATATCACTCGTGACAGTTTGATGATTGTGTTCATCTTTCACCATGGTGACGATGTCATTCGTTGTTGATGCTGTGGATTTGCAGTCTTTTGCAGTACATATCCAAGATATCCAGTCTCGTTTTCTCTTGCTGACTCTGTGCATGAACCCGCCAACAACCAAGTAACGACTGCCGCGAGCTGTAGGGATGAATCTCTGATCAAGCTGTGCATTTGCCATTTCGATATCGAATGTGAATCCATTAGCCATTCCATAGATATTTATACCAAAGATATGAACAGTGTTCAATATAAGCACCCTGCTAATTGTTATTGTAAACTTTTCAATCAATTGTAAGTGACATGTGAGCTGCGATATGTTCACTTTTTGCGACGAGTTCACCTTATCAAAACATCTAGAGTAGATTTTCCGCAACTCTAATTACGCCTAATCAGAACCTAACCTTCAAAGGAGACTAGTGAAAAATCGAAAGGTCTCATTTTATAACTCTGTGATAACACTGATATTGCCCATCAACTTTAAGCCTTCTTTTGCATCATTTTTATAGAGTACTATCTATATCTTCAAATGGAATGAAATTACTGAAAATAATTCAACATTTTAGTTCACCTCATGGCTTGTTTTATCTCTTTTGCGATGTTGGAAAAAAATGACATTGATATGTTGATTAATAATATATGTCCCCTAATTTCCATGAATTGTATAAAAAAGGTTTCGGTTTTTATGTCAGAATTTAACACTCTTTCGACAGAACTTAAAATGACTGATTTTACCATTTAAATAATGTCCTGAATAGATCAATGATTAGACAGTGTGACGGTGTATCTTAATATAAACAACACATGCACCTGTTTGGCATCAATTCAACGTAAATGAAAAAGAATATTTCACAACACCCGAATATATTTTTTTAGGATATGACTTTTCTTTGTTTATGATTATGTAGCTTTTTCTCTTCAAAAGTATACGATGAAAGATGCAAAAACATCTTTTGTATGCAACAATCAGAATAATGATGTAATGTTTGTCCAATGTAAGACATGACATGGTCTATATTTTGTTTACAATTTTCGTAGAAATATAGTTATAGTTTGATGTCCTGTCATTACAATATTTTTTTTCCGAATATGACTTGATCATGTTATCGAAAACAATGAAAGTGAATTGAAAAATGTTTGTGACAAACGTGCACCTGGCCAATCATTGTACATACAGTGGACTCTGTCAATACCGGCCTCTGTAAACACCGGCACTCTGTCTATATCGGCACAAAGTTTCAGTCCCGACAGCGAACTTATCATAAGCGAACCTAGCTAAACCGGCACTCTGTCAAAACCGGCATTTTTATTTGGTCCCGACTGATGCCGGTATTGACAGAGTACACTGTAACTGTTTTGTCAATAAAACGAAATAAACAAGTTCAATGAACATGACAATTCTTTTCAAAATGTGTACATATACATTTCATAAAATATCTAAATCATTTTCATTAATATTGTCATTTTTACTTACAAGTTAAATTGAATTGTTGTTTATTAACCTGTTCATGTGAAACAGTAATATCGGTCCCAATAGCGAATATTACACAGCATAGGAACTAAACTACATGTTGCAAGTTATGCCTACATTTAGTCTTCTAACACTTGTGTAAAGGTTTAAAATATGGTGTACTGCACTCAGTATGTAAATTTCTTATGTAAATATCATTCAAACAAATAAACACTTTCAAAAATTTAAACCATATACCCTATATCCACGGACATGATATTGATCAAGGCTAAATGTACATGATGTATATGAGGAAATTAGTTTCGTGAAAAAATATCTCAACAATACGCAAAATATACATCATAATACTTAATGTGTAATCGGTGGGACATGGCGATTGTGTTTTCTCTTATTCAACTGACCTTTACCTCAAAGAAATTGCCAAATATGTACAACAATGTTGACATATGACATCACTACCATTGACCAATTTCTTACAAAATGGCGGCTTCACTGACATGGGTACACAGGATTATGCGAGGATCCTTCCCTGATTCAGGGATCGTTTGTTCGTAAATATGTGATGTAGCTACTGTAAGTAATCAGAATGATTCTGTCTGTCTGTGTATTGTTATATGTTTTTATCACTTTCATTGTCCCTTTCCTATTACATGCTTTTTATAAATAGGGTAGGTGGGTAGATTTTATATCCTTTTTTTTACTTTTTTACTTTTTTTTAGTAACACCAGGTGGGCTACTAAGAATGTCTTTAAGGATACCACATCATGTTGTGACAATGCCTTGTGATGAAACATTAAAAGATTTTTATATCAAATCATTATTCATGTTATTTATTTGCAGGTTTTGTCAGTGAGAGCCCATTATGCCAATTCAATGCAATCCATTTTAGCCTTATGTACACTGAAAAACATGAAAATATCATACTGGATTAATTTGGATGAAAATGATAAGTTGAAATCCACGCCAGTCATGATTTTGACTTGGTTAAAAAAAGGTTTAGGGTTGGGGGGTTAGGAGAAGGTCGGTCGGGTAGCCGGAAACAGACATATATTATTTTTTGGCCTAAGAGAAGAAGCCCAAAATGCCAATAATTACCATTGTCGTTCTGCAAGATTTTGCATCAGTCATGGCATCAAGCTGCACAGAAACTTTGACAATTTCGTATAAACATATCACATTATTGTATTGTATATATTTTTTTATTTGCTACAATACTCTTTCCATGTATGTTCTAAAAGTATTGAGCCTATGCATGCTACAAATAGACGATTGGATGTCTGAAAATTTGAAAAAATGCTACACAGCGAAAAGTCATAATTTTTCTTTGTTTACATTTCAAACAATTGCTGTCTTTTACGCACAGCGTTCATTTTCACATCTAATATCTTTCGTTTCATTTCAGTGGAATTTTTACTGACAATTGGTTTTGGTGACAAAGACCATTTCTTATTTGATACTAAAACGTAATAGGAATTCAGTGATGCATTTGTTGCAGCGGAATATGAAATATACATGATGTAATAGGCGTCTCAATACCGGCCTTCGCGAAACATGATTTTGTAAACACTATCAAATATGGCGGAAAGCTCACTTTGGCATTCGTGTTAGTGTACTATCGAAAACATCCCAACTGATTCTTGGTTCGTCGGCAACGTTTCAGAATTACCAATCGTGATTTCATGAAAAACTGATATCAGTGATCATTGATATGCTATTTTTAGAATTGTTACTATTTAAGTAATTATCTGATTTTTACATTTCAAAACATACACCAAATAACGCTGGACTTCGAGAGTTTCTTATGTGTCAAAAAGGGCGACATTTACTATGAAGTCAAATTTGAAAGGTCTTTTACATCACTTTAGCTTTGCTAAGATGATAGTGGATGGTATTGAGAAACAGGAATTCGAAACTGTGAAGTGTATTTCCGTGTGTGAATGTTATTGGACTTCTAAGTGAGGGGGCGGTGAGGTAGCCTAGTGGTTAAAGCGTTCGCTCATCACGCCGAAGGCCCGGGTTCGATTCCCCACATGGGTACAATGTGTGAAGCACATTTCTGGTGTCCCCCGCCGTGATATTGCTGGAACATTGCTAAAAGTGGCGTAAAACCCAACTCACTCACTCACTCACTCACTCTAAGTGAGGGTTGAAGAATAAGGACTTATATGACCCTCTGGCACCCAGGGGGTTAAAAGCACAAAAACTTTGTAAATTAAAATGGTACTCGCATGATATTTTCAGTATTGTGAGGTATGACCTCAAACTCTGAGAAACTGTCAAAACCTAGCTGGAATGCTGTCGTAAAGGCTCCTGATGTTAGCAAGTGAGAGGTCTCTCCAAATCTTCCCCCCGATGATCCGAATCATTGTCTTTGTTTCTGATTTCATGAACACGTCTTTTTAGACAATGTTTCAGAGTTTTCCACACATACTCAAGTCTAGACTTTGAGCAGGACATGCCAAAGTATGAATTCTATAGTCATTTTTCCACTGATTGGCTCGCAGTGAAACATGGCAAGGAACATTGTTCTCTTGGAATATCTGGAGTCTGTTTGTGAAATGTCTAGTAAAGACAGGCCACAGATTTTCATGACGAACTTCAATATACTTATTTGTGTTCATGCTTCCATTGACAAATGTGATTGTTCCAACACAATGATATGTTTTGCAGTCCCGAACATCGCCGATATCACATTCCGGTTGTCACGGTTGGTGTGAACACTTAAACATTCTGGGAGTAATCTCTCATTTCTATTCCTCCAAACAAAAACTTTCTGATCCCTTCCAATTCTTACATATTGTCACTGAATATAATTTGTTTCCAATTATTTCTCCCCATTCCAGTTTGGTGCGGCAAAACTGACACTCTCTGTTCACAGGTGATATCGTATTTTTCTTGGAAACTTGTCTTTGAATTTGTGTATTCAGACTGTTAGTAATGTTCTTTAAACTACTCTGCCGAATCCGTTTTACAAGACGAAATAAGATCCTGTCACTTTGTTGTGACAATTTTCTTGGCCATCGGCTTCTCGGTTGGTTTTCACAAGAACCAGTGTCACGAAAACGTTTTAAAAATTTCTGGACTGGTCTAGGTTTAATGCTGATAATTTCTGAGCAATACGGTGAAGCGGCTAGGATCCAGTTTCTATAAGAAATGTGCATTAATGATAAATGTTCCAAAATTGGTTATCATATGAAAGAACATGTCTGATATAATTTCAGATATGGAGGCACCTGCATTTTTGTGCAGTACATAAATAGTAATATTTTCAGTGTTTCCTCTTGAAGAATTAGTACAGCCAATCATTACATTCCAGTAATTTCATAACCAAAGTGAAGAAATACATAATTTTACACTAATATTTAATTTATTGAAATTCAATGACAGTTTTGCCTACTTGTATTTTAAAAATGTCATTTATAATTTTCTCATCAGAAAATTCCATTTCAACAAAATTAAGTTGCAGGGTTTAGGTATCCCCAAAATTGGTGATAATAAGCTGAATCTATGTAAGAAATTGATTTCTTATGGTGAAACAATAATCTTCTGACATCTGGCAGATTATTGTACTTCAAGTACTGGATACAGCCATGATGCCACATCTGGATAACCATCCTCTTGCCAGATGTCAGAAGATTATTGTTTCACCATAACAAATCAATTTCTTACATAGATTCAGCTTATTATCACCAATTTTGGCCATTGAGTGACCCAGGTATAGTATGACCAGAAATTATTGAGAATTTTAGGAATATGTTTAATTGGATTTCTAGTATAAACAACCTTGACCAGCTATCAAGTGCTTGGTTTCATTCAAGAGAGACAACTCCGTTAATCCTTTATCATTAGTTTGTGAAGAGTTATCCCCCTTTGTTTACTTGCTAGCAGACGACATTTTCAGTGATCCTCAGTATGGATGATTTAGAGAAGAGGAAGTTGATTTTAGAGTATTATAACAAGGACACCAGATCAGCTAAAGTGATTTCAAGTAGAACAGGCATCCCTTTGTCCACTGTTTATCGTGTTCTGAAAAATATTGCAAATGGATATGGCATTGAGCACCAGGGAGGCGCAGGTAGGCCCAGAAAATTGACTGTCGCTGACAGGAGGCGGCTTGGTATTCTTGTTTCTAAAAACAAACGAAGGAGTTTAGAAAACTTAAGGCTGGATATGATTGATAGAGGAACTGTGGCTCTCTGTAAGGAGACAATTAGAACTGAGCAGCATGCAATGGGTTGACAGAAAAGTCGAGGAATTCCATCACCGATCATGAAACCTGAACAAAAGGAGCGAAGGTTGAACTGGTGCTTACAGCATAGAAATTTTAACTGGGACAATGTGATTTTCTCAGATGAAAGTTCTGTGTTGCTGTTTCCTAATACACTGAAATTCTGGACCAAACAAACTGAAAAACCTTTGTATCAGCGCCCAAAGTACAGTCCGAAATTTAACGTGTGGGGTGACATATCTGTGTTAGGGGCAACGTCCCTCTGTGTATTTGAAGGGAATATGAACAGTGAGCGGTACACAGATGTTCTCGAGGGACATTTACTTCCATCTGCTCACATGTTCTATGGAATTTTTTGATTTTCCAGCAGGACAACAACCCAAAACATCGTTCAAAGTATTCACAGGCCTGGTTTCGGACCCAAAATATGACATTATTAGATTGGCCAAGCTATAGCCCTGACCTAAATCCAATATAAAATGTTTGGGGACTTATGAGCGAAAGTGTCAATAAGAAATATCTGACAAATACTGCTGAATTGAAAGAAGAGGTGGTCCGATATTGGGACAGCATGGACCACGACTTTCTAACTTCTTTGATCAGTAGTATGCCCCACCACATTGAAGCCTGCATTGCTGCCAATGGTGACTTGACAAAATACTAACTGTTCACCTGTCTTTGAATTTGGAGTTATGTTCTGCTAATATTCACATTTAATACGTGAGTAATAAGTGAATTTTTTTTTAAAAATTACAATCTTAAATTCTCAATAATTTCTGGTTTTACTGTAATGCAGTGAGATCCAACCCAACCCAAAACTCACCTCAACACTATCACGGAGCCGCCACCAAAGGATTCAGTTGCTTGAATCATCTAATGAAACTGTGTCTCCTTACGCGACAACGGCATGAAGACAATAGTGACTTTCATCAGACCAATGAACTCTGTGGTATTTCCTCAAGTTTTCTCGGTGTCTGCACCACGACATGTTCCTGCCTGTGCCTGTCTGTGAGTGAGGGATGTCTGATCAGTCAAAGTGCCCTCAGACCAGCAGCCTTCAGCCTCCTTCTGATGGTACTGGTGGAGAGTCTCAGAAACTTGCACTCTCCATTGCCAAATGCATTTCTTCAGCATGGTTGATCATATTGATATCATGGCAGACGATCATTCATCACAATTACTTGTCTTCCTCCATCTTCCCAGCCTTGAACAAATGTTTACTTGCTTTCTCACTAGTTAACTAATAACCGTGTGGTTAATTTTTATGTTAGCACTGATGTTGTGACAGGCATGTTATTATTTGCCAGATCATTGTGGCTGGACTGTGCGACAGGAATAAGTTGGTGTTAAGGTTATTCATTTACCTTCCAGGTGGCCATTATGCAACAGCCATCTTACATCCAACCATGTACTTACATGTACTGGTCTCCACCTGTGGTATAGCAGTTATTTTAACCTCTCCCTCATGTGTATCCTCCATATAAGCAATGCTTTAACAATAGATGTAACATGCCTCATTCTTCATTGCATTTTTAACATTTTATCACATAGCTATCATCCATATACTCCTCACAAAAAGTTAAGAAAAATATTATGTTTTTTAGCACAAGTAGCAATTTATGAAATATACAGGAAAATTACCTCTGAAGAAGACATGTTTATGGCTGCCATTTTCAGCCCCAAATTCTGGATCAGCATGAAGAGGCTTTTTCTCTTTGAGTGGTACAGTCTGTTTGGGTCAAAATGATACCGATGAAGAACAATCTAACTCCTAATCGGTTCATGATCAAACATGGTGGTGCATGGATTCTCATCAGTGTTGTCATTGTTTTCAGTGTACTCTCAGAAGATGCAACACAAACACAGACTTTTGAAGGACTGGCCTCCAGCTTCCATCATTACTTCTCAAACAAACAGGATCACTTCAAAGTTGGATCTGCATTGGTATGTACTGAGACTGGTCTTGTATTATAACTGTGGTGATAATGTAAGAAGGACAGACTCAACAGTCTAGTAGCTGAATACTAATATAAGTAATCCAACAAAAACTTTGAAATATGAAAATTACGGTCCATTTCAATATGATCCAAACACAGGACAGAGAAAATGACAGACTGGCAGAAGCAGCACTAGTTTCTCGTTTTTTAACAGCTGTTTTCATTGAGTGTTGTATTTTCTTGCACCAGGTACTTCTGCTACAGAACCGGGACCTGCTACCACACCCCACTCAGAAACTGGCTGCCATTTACCTCATCTATGAGATGTACAGAACAGAGCCCATTGCAGCTAATCCATTCGCATCTGTATTTGTTCACCTACTGGTGAGTATATGTTACATGTTCAGATGACGACGTTGTTATCTTATTGTTCCGTTGACTAATTTCATTTTTTTGCATAAAATGTATCTTGCATTTTTGTGTCTTAAAGAAGCACATTTTTCCTTATCATGACTCATGCTTATTGCTTGTCTCCCTTTCCTTCCGAATGCTAGTGGAACACTTGAATCCCCTTTTGAAGCTCCCTTCAAAAAAGCGGACGTAAAATCACTTACCAGGAGTCACCTCCCTTCCCAGGTTTTGGCGGGAAACGGCGCCACCTGTCTCCCATGCTCTTCACTCTCTCCTGATTCGCCCGAGTGGGTGGTTGTGAGAGCACCTGGTCCCCTATACGGCTTTATATCCTTTTATTATTTAGGCCTTTCTTCTAAATTAGCTGTATAAGGCTTTAGTTAACATTTACCTACAATATTCTACGGAATTAATTCTCAAATTTCTCTGTTTTTATCACGTTTTTACGTGATTATTCACATTGTTTACAATTGATGAAATCTTGTTCTGGTTGTAGGTATCGATTGTCTGCTGTTGATCCACATAACCTATGTCCTAATTGCAAGCCTGTATGTTTATCTGACACTCGTTGTCAGTTGTGTTTTCACCTGTCTGATATTGCATTTTACAAATATTCATATTATCTGTCGATGTGCAAAGGACAGGTCCAGACGAGAATTACACGACATGTCTAAACCGGCTAAGCTTGCAGCGGACCGGCAGTTGGTGTCTGCGCAGATGCACCAATCCAGTGGTCTACCCGGGGTAGTCTACGGAGGAGGTTGCCACCATAGACAACGCTGGCTCGAGGAAGAGGTCATCTACATCTGATACACCCTCTTCGCAGTCTAAGAAGACTAGGGCATCATCTTCCCAGAGGAAGAAGTCAGCTACAACTAAGACTTTTCGTCGAAGTCTCCACACGGGGCAACGCAGAAAACGAGGTCCTTTTCAGCTGAGATCGTCCCTCTGGAAGAAATAGATGTCTACGATGAGCCGCCCATCCTCATCCCTGAGATCACATCTAAGAAGAAGACGAAGATGTCTTCTACAGTGGCCACGCAGGACAACCTTTCAACGCAGACGTTCGGCACGAAGGATCAACGCCCTTCGGAAGAAGCCTCATCCGTCTCAGATGCGTCGTCAGTACAACAGACAACGCAGACCTTCAACCCGGGCTCCTTTATGCAGCAATTTACCCAACAGATGTTGGATCTGATGGAACAACGGTTCGCACGCGAGAGAGCTGCGACGAAGACGACGTCTGCAACGAACCCGAGTGAAGGTCAACTGAGCTGCACACCACGTCCGTTGGGAACAAACGTCCTGCAGAGCATACAAGAAGATTCCAGCTCGACAACAGCGTCCTCACAAATACCTGGCAGCCATACCAACGTGGAACCCGCACCAACTACGTTCGACGGAAGGACCAGACGTTCGCCGAACCCACGTAGATCATCATCGACGTCAGATACGGAAGTTCGTCACGAAACCTGCACGCAACAGTTCGTTACCAAGGAGAAGAGAATAAACATCCGTACAAAGGCATAGAGATTCCTCACAAGACTCCAACCCTCGACCAACCCGTTCACCTACACGCAGGTTCGCGCGAAGGCACGCATGGTCATCTCTATCTCCACGCAGGTCCCCACGAAGGAAGTCACAAACACATTCAAGAATGTATGGTTGGCCACGAAGGTCACCAAGCAGGTCGCCTTACAGATCGCCACGCAGGTCACCACACAGATCGTCTTACAGATCAACTTACAGATCTCCTCGTTCAGGCGACAATAGAAGACATCCATCCTCAGAGCAGGAAGATGACGGCGGAATTATATTTTCCGACTCGGAAATCAAGTCATGGATGGCCAATGGTTTGGAACTTGCATCACCCTCTAAGGAGACCAAAGAAGCACTATCATACTTGATGGTGAATGATGATATAGACTCACTCACGATGCCACCTATCGACCCTGTCTTAGACGTTCCAGACAACCTCAGCACAGCCTTCAAGAAGGCAACTAAATACCAGACTCAGAGTATTCCGTCGTTCAACTTTAAGAAGTTCTCTCTACACCACATGGAACCCTTCATGAAGGCCCCAGAAATAGATGAGAATTATAAGATCATCAACGACACTCGGACGAAAGCTTACAAGATAGAAGATAAAAAGCTGGCACAGTTAGATACAGTAACCAGACGAACCTTCTTCGGCCTAACCAGGTCAAGAGCTATCAACGAGACTCTCATCTCGAAGTTTAAGAATTCAACTTCAGAGGAAGATAGAATGGTTTATTCAGCTCTACTTACACAGAAAAAAGGATCATCAGTTCATGTCTGAACACCTATCATCCATTTCTGCAGGCTTAACATTATCAAGAAGGCAAGGACTGTTATCTTCCTGTACTTGGAGCGAGAAATTTACCAAGACACTCTACAGAGTCCCTTGGTCAGCACCATCCATTTTTGCAGGAGAAATTGATGAAATTAAGCCAAGGAAGTCGCTAAAGATTCGAGAAGTGATGATGATCAAGTCTATCGATACACTGGCCAGTGTAATCGTCACACCTCCCAACGTTATTCCGGCAAATCGAAGTTTGCAGGCATCCAGAGAGCAAGGGATAAGAAATCAGGCAACGCTAAAGGGAATAAGGATTCTTTTCGTCGCCCATCCGCAGCTCCAAGAGGTAACTACGGAGAGGTCAGCCCTTTCGAAGCGCCAGAAGTTCCAGACGATGAAATACAGGTTCGGAACAACTGGAGTCTTCCACCCCCAGCCGTTCCAGTACAACCTTCACAATTGGGTGGACGTCTGCAACTCTACTGGAAGAATTGGGGAATTCTTCAAGACGACTTCGTATCTCAGATTCTACGCAAAGGTTACAGGATACAGCTACAAGCAGTACCACCAGTAACAATCAACCCACTGGTTCACAACTACGCTGCAGACCAGAAGGGAAATCTACTAGAAGCCATCACATCTCTACTAGAGAAGGAGGCAATCGAAGAGATAAAACAAGACTGCGTCACACCAGGTTTCTACTCCCCAATTTTTCTGGTACCAAAGAAAAATTCAAAAGAAAAGTTCCGACTCATTTACAACATAAGGAAATTCAACAAAGATTACCTCCTACCACCCGCAAAGTTCAAGATGATACATCTACCACAACTACGACATCTCATACGTCCGCTAGACTATCTCGCCAGCATAAATGTACAGGATGCATACTTACACATCCCGATCCATCGGGAATCAAGGAAATATCTGCGATTCCTGTTCAACGGACGTCATTTCCAATGGAAGGTCCTACCATTTGGAATATCGTCGGCCCCCTGGTTGTTTACTCGAGTGACAAAGCTCATCAATATATATCTACATCGTCGAGGTCTACGCAGTGCGATCTACCCAGACGACGGGATTCAAGCTCAGCAAGATCCCAGTCAACTCAGACTGCAATTGAACTTCACCATCAGACTTCTCACTCAACTAGGATGGCTAGTAAATCTCCTCCAGTCGGAACAAGAGCCTACTCAGGACTTACAATTCCTAGGAATACGGCTTATAACAACGAAGAATCGCATTCTCGTTCCAGAGCATCGTTGGATCAAGATTCAACAAATGATCTCTCAAGTTCTACTCTCTCCGTTACCACTACGAGAATAGCAGAGCCTATTAGGTCTCCTCACGTCAGCTCAAGACATGACGCACAGAGGGAGACTACAACTGCGTCCTCTACAGAGATTTGTGAACACCCACTTACACAGTCTGGATCCCTTCGAAATAAAAGACAGGCTAAAACCATACCTACTATGGTGGACTCAGAAGTCGAATGTTTGCGGCGGAAATTACTTAATAGAGCCGGAGTGCAACGTCCACCTCTGCGTAGATGCATCACTGCAAGGATGGGGAGCACACCTCGACAACGAAGTGGCTGCCGGGAAATGGTCGAAACAAGAAATGAATCTGCATATCAACATGCTCGAGATGAAAGCAGTAGTAAATGCCCTACTACATTGGTCCAACATACTAAGAAATGCAAAATTGATGATCCATACGGACAACTCAACAGTGGCGTTCTACATAAACAAACAAGGATCAACAAGATCTTGGAATCTTCTAGATCTCAGCTTTCAACTATTCAACATAACAGACAATCTGAACATTTATGTGAAAGCATGTCACATTCCGGGAGCCAGGAATGTAATAGCAGATGGCGCTATCTCGACCACATCAACCATCCCCAACAGAATGGATGTTACATCCACAAGCGTTCAGATGCATCATACAGACGATAGGATCTCCACTCGTAGACCTATTCGCCACAAGATTCAAAAATCAACTGGCAATATTCGTCTCTCCAATTCCCGAAAATCAGGCAGACAAACAATCTACAACTGATTTTGGTCGCGCCTTACTGGCCAGCAAGAACGTGGCTTCCCGTTCTCTTGGAAGAACCGGAAAACCAACAATAGAACTTCGAGTTTGGTTGAACCTACTAATTCATCCTCACACCAAGCAAGTTCACAAGTATCCCAGATTATTCCACCTACATGTATGAAACGTATCACGAATTGCTTGTCGAAAAGAGGATACTCCGCCAGAGCAGCAAAGCAGTTACACTAGCTTTACGCAGATCTACTCGTAACTTGTATGACGACAAGTGGCAAAGCTTTGAAAAATATGCATCGAGGAAAGGTTTCACTGCAGTGAAAGCAACACATCCTCAAGTGGCGGAATATCTTTGTCATCTCAGACAAATGAAGGAAAATTAAAAGGTTCGACATTATCTACATACCTAGCGGCTCTCAGCTCAGTTATCACTATGAAGACAGGCGTGAAACTGACGAAAGTGCCAGAGTTACTGGCCTTGCTTTCGCTCTTTTAAACTGGAAGACCAACAAAGGAAATTTAAAGCGCCGGCTTGGGATCTCAACGTGGTGTTACGACATCTCACCAGTGATGTGTACGAACGACTAGAAAGAACTTCTTATGAATTTCTTACACAGAAAACGCTAATTCTGATCGCCTTGGCAACAGCGGCGCGGATGTCAGAAATACATGCGCTGGACTTCGAACAAATACGTTTTGACACACGTCACAACATGGTTCATCTAGGATTGAGGTGGGATTTCATAGCTAAGAATCAACTGCCAGGTCAACCGGACAGACAATTCCACATCCCAGCATTATCTACAATCCTTGGTCCACAGGATATACAAGACTTATCCTTATGTCCAGTCAGAGCGCTGAAAATATATCTACAAAAGTCTAAAACCATATCGTCGGAGACACCCACAGAGATCTCACGTACTACGATATCAGTTTGGATGAGAGCAATCATACTACTGAGCCTACAAGGCAGCAGGACTTGAGCCTCCTCGAGCCTCCAATCCGCACGAAATTAGAGCATTGGCATCTACACTCACTCTACATGGAAACTGCTCAATATCCACGATCATGGAAGGGTGTTTTTGGAAATCGGAGACAGTATTTGCTAACCACTATCTCAGAGACATTGCTACCGAGGACGTCTCCGGTATCCACCAGTTTGGACCTCTGGTTGTAGCTCAACAGCTGACGGTCCCTCAAAGGCGCTGAGATGTATCTCGCCCTTTTACCGCATGTCATGCAAAGCTAGTACTCCAAGGAATAGAGCTTATAGTCCATGTACACGTCTAGAACAGACTAGCATGAATATTGGACCCTGTACTTGTAAGGAATTACTTGTACACGGATAGGGTCACTGCTGCACTTGATACGAACATCAAGAGTTGGAGTTATTTAAATCCACATGTACGGTTACTGAAGAGTCTGATATATTGTGGTCCCCCCAAATTACCAGATTTATTTCGACATATGGATCAACAGCAGCAGTGCCATTAAAAGTTCCCATGGGGGTAAATAAGACGTAAATTCATCACTAAGGAATCCAGAGATGGCTTGACCCACCACCTATCCCATCGGATTCTACAAGCAATAAGCATGAGTCAGGATAAGGAAAAATATGTAATTTTCTGAATAAAATTGATATTTTATACTTATCCTGACTTATGAAGTAAGCCCTCCCAACCTCCACTCAAGGCACTCTGGATTTCCCAGTAAATCAGTGTGTCGGGCTATAAAATACGGAGAGAGTGAAGAGCATGGGAGACAGGTGGCGCCATTTCCCGCCAAAACCTGGGAAGGGAGGTGACTCCTGGTAAGTGATTTTACGTTTGCTTTTTTGAAGGGAGCTTCAAAAGGGGATTCAAGTGTTCCACTAGCATTCGGAAGGAAAGGGAGACAAGCAATAAGCATGAGTCAGGATAAGTATAAAATATCAATTTTATTCAGAAAATTACATATTTAGCAATTAACGAGATGGTTTTTACTTTCTGATGTTAATATCTATTTTCAGAATCCACCTACTGAAAAGCAAGAAGCAGGTCAATATGATCTTCACTGGGCCATTCCAGCTATATCCCCCCCAGAGCGCTACTTTCTCTCACAGCTGATCTCCAGCCCATCGAAGGAGGTCTGTCCAATGACTACACATTATTCTTTGTTTAAAATCTCAAGTTGTACTACGTACATCATTCCATAAACAGATAGAACGTACATCATTCCATAAACAGATAGAACGTACATCATTCCATAAACAGATAGAACGTACATCATTCCATAAACAGATAGAACGTACATCATTCCGTAAACAGATAGAACGTACATCATTCCATAAACAGATAGAACGTACATCATTCCATAAACAGATAGAACGTACATCATTCCGTAAACAGATAGAAAGTACATCATTCCATAAACAGATAGAACGTACATCATTCCATGAACAGATAGAACGTACATCATTCCGTAAACAGATAGAACGTACATCATTCCATAAACAGATAGAACGTACATCATTCCATAAACAGATAGAACGTACATTATTCCATGAACAGATAGAACGTACATCATTCCATGAACAGATAGAACGTACATCATTCCGTAGACAGATAGAACGTACATCATTCCATAAACAGATAGAACGTACATCATTCCATGAACAGATAGAACGTACATCATTCCATGAACAGATAGAACGTACATCATTCCATAAACAGATAGAACGTACATCATTCCATAAACAGATAGAACGTACATCATTCCATGAACAGATAGAACGTACATCATTCCATAAACAGATAGAACGTACATCATTCCATAAACAGATAGAACGTACATTATTCCATAAACAGATAGAACGTACATCATTCCATAAACAGATAGAACGTACATCATTCCATGAACAGATAGAACGTACATCATTCCATAAACAGATAGAACGTACATTATTCCATGTGAACTGACATCCTGTAGGTGCCTCTCATACGGCTCAAGATAAACTGTAAAATATGCAGCCTCTTTGAAATAGTTAGTTAATATATACCTAATATAGTGGCCCCATAGGAGTAAAAATACCTGATATACTGGCCCCATAGGAGTAAAATTACCTAATTTTCTGGCCCCATTGAAGTAAAAATACCTAATATACTGGCCCCATAGGAGTGAAAATACCTAATATACTGGCCCCATAGGAGTGAAAACACCTAATATACCTAATATACTGGCCCCATAGGAGTAAAAACACCTAATATACTGGCCCCATAGGAGTAAAAATACCTAATATACTGGCCCCATAGGAGTAAAAATACCTAATATACTGGCCCCATTGAAGTAAAAATACCTAATATACTGTCCCCATAGGACTAAAAATACCTAATATACTGGCCCCATAGGAGTAAAAACACCTAATATACTGGCCCCATAGGAGTAAAAATACCTAATATAGTGGCCCCATAGGAGTGAAAATACTTGATATACTAGCCCCATAGGAGTAAAAATACCTAATTTACTGGCCCCATAGGAGTGAAAACACCTAATATGCTGGCCCCATAGGAGTAAAAACACCTAATATACTGGCCCCATAGGACTAAAATACCTAATATACTGGCCCCATAGGACTAAAGATACCTAATATACTGGCCCCATAGGAGTAAAAATACCTAATATACTGGCCCCATAGGAGTAAAAATACCTAATATACTGGCCCCATAGGAGTAAAAACACCTAATATACTGGCCCCATTGGAAGTAAAAATACCTAATATACTGGCCCCCCATAGGACTAAAAATACCTAATATACTGGCCCCATAGGAGTAAAAAACACCTAATATACTGGCCCCATAGGAGTAAAAAATACCTAATATACTGGCCCCATAGGAGTAAAAATACCTAATATACTGGCCCCATAGGAGTAAAAATACCTAATATACTGGCCCCATAGGAGTAAAAATACCTAATATACTGGCCCCATAGGAGTAAAAATACCTAATATACTGGCCCCATAGGAGTAAAAATACCTAATATACTGGCCCCATAGGAGTAAAAATACCTAATATACTGGCCCCATAGGAGTAAAAATACCTAATATACTGGCCCCATAGGAGTAAAAATACCTAATATACTGGCCCCATAGGAGTAAAAATACCTAATATACTGGCCCCATAGGAGTAAAAATACCTAATATACTGTGGCCCCATGGGAGTAAAAATACCTAATATACTAATACACCTGGCCCCATAGGAGTAAAAATACCTAATATACTGGCCCCATAGGATAAAATACTAATATACTGGCCCCATAGGAGTAAAAATACCTAATATACTGGCCCCATAGGAGTAAAAACACCTAATAAAATACTGGCCCCATATATACCTAATATACTGGCCCCATAGGGAAAAAATACCTAATATACTGGCCCCATAGGAGTAAAATACCTAATATACTGGCCCCATGGGATAAAACACCTAATACACCTAATATATACTGGCCCCATAGGAGTAAAAAATACCTAATATACTGGCCCCATAGGAGTAAAATACCCATACTGGCCCCATAGGAGTTAAAAATACCATGATAGGAGTAAAAATACCTAATATACTGCCCCATGGGACTATGGGAGTAAAAATACCTAATATACTGGCCCCATAGGATGAAAATACCTAATATACTGGCCCCATGGGGTGAAAATACCTAATATACTGGCCCCATGGGAGTAAAAATACCTAATATACTGGCTGGCCCCATAGGAGTAAAAAATACCTAATATACTGGCCCCATAGGAGTAAAAAATACCTAATATACTGGCCCCATGGGAAAATAAAAATACCTAATATACTGGCCCCATAGGGATAAAAACCTATGGGAGTAATATACTGGCCCCATAGGAGTAAAAATACCCCCATGGGATAAAATACCTAATATACTGGCCCCATAGGAGTAAAAATACCTAATATACTGTCCCCATAGGAATTAAAAATACCTAATATACTGGCCCCATGGGAGTGAAAAAGATAAAATACCTAATATACTGGCCCCATAGGAGTAAAAATACCTAATATACTGGCCCCATAGGGTGAAAAATACCTAATATACTGGCTGGCCCCATATACTGGCCCCATAAAAATACCTAATATACTGGCCCCATTGGAGTAAAGATACCTAATATACTGGCCCCATAGGAGTGAAAATACCTAATATACTGGCCCCATAGGAGTAAAAATACCTAATATAGTGGCCCCATAGGAGTAAAAATACCTAATATACTGGCCCCATTGGAGTAAAGATACCTAATATACTGGCCCCATAGGAGTAAAAATACCTAATATAGTGGCCCCATAGGAGTAAAAATACCTAATATACTGGCCCCATTGGAGTAAAGATACCTAATATACTGGCCCCATAGGAGTAAAAATACCTAATATACTGGCCCCATAGGAGTAAAAATACCTAATATACTTGCCCCATAGGAGTAAAAATACCTAATATACTGGCCCCATAGGAGTAAAGATGCCTAATATACTGGCCCCATAGGAGTAAAGATACCTAATATACTGGCCCCATAGGAGTGAAAATACCTAATATACTGGCCCCATAGGAGTAAAGATGCCTAATATACTGGCCCCATAGGAGTAAAGATACCTAATATACTGGCCCCATAGGAGTAAAGATGCCTAATATACTGGCCCCATAGGAGTAAAGATACCTAATATACTGGCCCCATAGGAGTCAAAACAGCTTAAAGACCCAAAACAGATTACCAATTCCTGATGTGAATAATAATGTGTCCTCTTTGTACACTACATTTATGATGAGATGTGCTACTGTACAATGTGTTTACTTCACATACTAATATATGTGTTGTAGTTAATGTAAATCAATACATTTATTTCTATTTTCAGATGTTCAAAAAATCCCCAAGTCAGATTATACACATGGATGTAGGCAGTATGCAGGTACCTCTAGTTATAAGACACCATCATCAATGTGGACTCAAAGCTGTTCATCTGTCATCTGTCTAAATTAATCAGCGCTGAGCATATGAACTCCTGTCTTTATTGTTCTGAACAAATCAGGGGCGGTGGGTCAGCCTAGTGGTTAAAGTGTTCGTTCGTCACGCCGAAGGACCGGATTCGATTCCCCACATAGGTACAATGTGTGAAGCCCATTTCTGGTGTCCCCTACCGTAATATTGCTGGAATATTGCTAAAAGCGGCAAAAAAATCCAACTCACTCACTCAGCAATATGTTGCCTTGATCTGAGTGGTGTCTTCTCCAGTGCCTACATTGTCCGTGGTCTGCACCTTGTCTGTCCCCTAGTTCTGTCCCCTGGTTCTGTATGGTGTTTCTTCCAGTGTCACACCAGTTAAGGTCCAAAGCTTATGACATAACCTCAGCTTGGTATTACTCTGTCCTGGCATATCTTAGAAAGGCATGATATGCAAAGTCTGCTTGGCTCTGGCTTCAGGCCTATGATCTTGACCAGAAGTGCATCCTGTAAGATGGTATTTGAAACTTAAGTTATCTTTTTTGGCCAGACATTAGCTTTCATTTTGTTGGACTGTACATATCACTAGACTGGAGTGTAATAATCTCTTGATAACAGTGTAGTGATGGTAGTTATAATTTGGCCAGACTAGCTATCACTTGTATTGGGAGTACCTATCACTTGACCAGATGTTTTGGTAGACAAAGAATCTGTTATTAGTCTGTTCTCTAGACTTGCTTTCCTGTTTATACTAACTATAGTTACCATACTTATTTTATTCTTCGTCCCTGTATTTCAGTCATTTGATGTGAGTGGCCTACAACTAGCTTTAGCAGAACGCCAGTCTGAGATGCCTTATACCAGTAAGGCTGCCATGCCCTGTGTAGTGCCGGATCCAGATACTAAACCCACAAGGTAAAATCCAGTTGTAACAATTCATCAAAGTTTCATGCCTTGGCCCATTTGCAGTTGATGTTTTCAAAATTGCAGAAAGTTACTGTATACCAAATAATTCTGGAAGACAAACCAAAAACTGTTCATTGTTATCGTCTCAAGTAAGTACCTCAACTTGAGTGTGGGTAGTACCGGTAACTGGATTGAAGAGAGAATAAAAAAAATTTCCCCAAATTTTGTAAAATTGTTTGGAGACTGTGGTTTGTATGTGTTTGAGATCACAACTGGGAGTGATGTCAGCCCATTATGACAAGAAACAAAAATGTACTTTGAAAAGGGTGAACAAAAGTCAGCGCATCTCTTCTTTTAGAGAAACATCTTGTTTACAGTTTTGATCAGTTTGGCAAACCAGGAGTGATCAATCCTGACGTACAGAGACAGACTATAGAAGCACTGCTCACAGGAAACCGCCCGTCTGTAGACAACTGTATGACACCAGAGTTTGTGAGACTTGCACCACCACTTCACATTACAGAAGATGAGGTGAGGATATCAACCTAACATTACTATTATACATACTTTCACAAGTTTTAGCTCGCCTTATTGAAGGTCAGAATGAGCATATGTAACGGTCTGTGACAACAGCAACATTTTCTCCCTAGAATCAACTAGACTAGTTTGCTGAAATTGGTACACTTGTTCCCAATGATGACTCTTTCATGTAATCAACAGGCTCAGATTCCACCACTGCATGGCAATCTTTAATGGAGAAATTCCAAATTATGAAATGTGGTTAATGTATGCAGCTTTCAGGTGGGGTCCATGTGTTCTGTTTTTGGTTTGTTTAACAACTTTGGCACATTACAGTCTCTCAGTTGCAGCATATTCAACAGTCTGATTTGTTCATTATTGTTTGATGATTGGTTGAAAACATGATCTCCTGTAATACTCTTCACTTGAAATGTGGCAAGGTAACTACAGATGGATCGGTCAAGTTACAAGGGGGAGGAGTTATTGAGCATCTTGTGGAAGGTCAGGCCTACACCTATCTTGGAATGCAAGTTCGAGACAAGCTCCAGAATGCCCAGATTCAAGAGAAACTTCGGGCCGAGTTTAAAGCTTGCTTAAAGAAAATCTGGAGCTCAAAGCTAAATGCTTGAAACAACGTCAAAGCCACCAATACCTTTGCTGTGCCAGTTCTTTCCTATTGCTTTGGAGAAGGCGATTGGACGAAAAAAAACATCCATAGTCTTGATCACCTGACCAGAAGGACCATGTCTGATAACAGAGCCCACCAGGAATTCCACAGCTATTTTAAGCGTGCCAAGGTTATTGGACAGAATCTGAATTTTGATGTTGATTTTGTTGATGGCGAAGTACTGCTGGATGGTACAGCGATGAGAGTAAACCGGGTGAAGTCTTTACCAAGTCTGCCCAGAGTCGGTCATTTGTGGAGAAGCTTTCTGAGAAAACACTGCATCGTGTATATATGCCATGTGTGGAACAGAATGGCAATCCCACCGACTCCTTCGCTTTGATGAAGTCTGCTGGTCTTAAATGTGAAATAGAGAGCTTCCCTTTTTGCTGCCCAAGACCGGTCACTTCCCACTCGCAATAGCCAAAATATGATTCTTAATGAAAATATTAAATGTCGACTTTGCAATAAATTTACAGAGACCGTCAAACATCTTGTCTGTGGATGCCCTTCCTTGGCACAAACATCATATCTCAAAAGACATGATGGCATGGCTCGCTGCTGTAATTACCCTCTTCGCCATGCCTGTGGCTTTGACTCTGAGGTCCATCCATGGTACGACCCTGAACATGTCCAGGGCGTCATGGAAAATGATGCTTTCAAACTTCTGTTGAATAGGCCCATATAAAGCCTCAGAAGAATCCCAGCCAACAAACCTGATCTTGTCCTTTGTGATAAAGCCAATGAATTTAATTATATCATTGAATTTTGTGTGCCTTTTGACAGCAATGTGATTGGCAAGATTGAGGAAAAGCATGCTAAGTATGTGGACCTCGCCTTTGAAATGTCTCGCTTGCATCCCCAGTGTACATTCTAGGCTGCGCCCTTATGCCATTCACGCACTGAAAGTTCATATGGTGCACTTTAAAAATACTGGGAGGCCATAAATCTGAAATGCATTAAAAAAAAAAAAAAAAAAGCAAAAACCTGGTCATGATGACGATACAGCGAGCACAACCAACCGTGACGATGATAACCGAAAAGAGGATGGGTCTGAGGAGAAAGGCCAGGACGATGTATCACGTCCACGTGTTTTTCAAAATAAGTGGTTGCAGCTTGACCCATGGGTATTGTTCGTCAAAGAGGCAAATCACTTGTGATGTACGGTGTGTATTACCCATCACAAAAATAATGTGTTTACAGGGAATGGCACAGACAATTATCGGACCAGTAAGTGAACTCAAATTAGTAACTAATTAGTACTGTATGTCTAACAAGTCACAGCAATTTGACATGACCCACACTGTTTTCTAAATGGCCCACATAACTGAAGGCTGGTGGGCCATGGGCCTACTTTTCATCAAGGCTAGAATGAACACTGCATCCCAAGTACACTGTTGTCAGGCTCCCCATTGTTCTCAGTGCCCTTGGTTTGGTACCTCCTGATCTCTCCCCCGGGAGCACAGCCCTTCTGACACACTGGGTAATGCAGAGGGCTGCAGTGTTGGGGGAGTCTACATATTCTTGGTGGGTTCGACTCGGCAGTGTTTCCTGGGAGAAGTCCCATTCACTGTCTTGGCTGCGTGTAGAGTGGGCAAGGGTGAGGTGAGGTGAAATTGGGTTTTACATTGTGCTTGAGAATATTTCGCTCATATGACGACGTGCATGCGTGTGTATGTGTATGCCCAGACTGAAGCTGGTTTTATAGTGCTAGCCCACTGAGATACAATGCCGCAGTGAAGCATGAATACCCCACTCAGACACAGTATACTGACTCCAAGCCAACCAGTCCTTGTTGTACCCATTAATGCCGAGCGCCAGGCAGGGACCAACAAGTACCATATTTTAACGTCTTTTGGTTTGACGCGGTCGGGGATCGAACCCGCAACCTTCCGCTCTCCGGGCGGACGGCTCTAACTTTCTAACCACTACACCACGGAGGCGGTCAGAGTGAGCAAGGGCCTTGAGCTGATGATGAGCCTTACCAGCCTGACTGTGCCAGGATCACCCGAACCCTCCCTGCTGCATTTTCATCTTAGTCTGTAAAACATAATTCATTGTATAGCACCTAGTATCCATCTGACTAGTTGCTCACTGGATGCTGTAATCAGAATCTGATTATTATTACCCCGGATAACCCAAGCTGCCTGTGAATAGTCACATGATTTATCTCACCGGGTACCCATTTTCTACTGGGTGAACAAAGGCCTTAGGTGAGACCACATGTATCATGTTTGCGTCATTGTGGGGCAGGCCTGAAGTCCTAGAAACTCTCAGGAGTCAAGCTGACAAACACGGTCACCCATCCAAGCACTCTCCAAGCTCGACGTTGCTTAACTTCAACTGATTTGTGACCTGGGCTCTATGCACAGGACCACTTATCACCAATGATCAGACAGAGGAGTCACATGATCAACCAGAGAGCATGCTGCATGCTTCACAGAGGCTGAGGCTGTTCAGGAATGGTAGTAGTGGGGAGTGTTCGGGCTTTGGTACAAGAGCGGCCTAAAACTTCGTTGCAGTTCGTTTCCACTCAGCTGTCGAATCATAAGAGGTAGGAGGTAGAATACAATAGGATACAATTTTGTAAACATGAACTTGGGGTCAGCAATTTTGTCCAGCGGCGAGAGTACATCCAGTAGGAGTTATCCCTGCCCAAACCATGACCGACCACCTGCCAAATTGCCTGTGACGTTGTGTTAGTGGTGGACAAACTGCAGGTCGCCTACAGCGGAGTCCAGTTTCCCTTAAATGTCAACAAACGGTGCTCCTGGATATCCTTACATTGTTAGCATTGAAGTTTTCTGTCTGAAGATCTGCTGCGTTAAGAAATCTGTTACGTAACGCAGTGTTCATCATGTGCATATCATCTCGGACTGTTGTGACTCTGGGGTGACCTGGTTGACATGCATATTCCACATACCCATTGACTTGAAATCTCTGCCAAAGTCTACCAATAGCAGTCTGACGCACATTAAAGCGTACAGCAACCTGCCACTGAGTTTGACCAGATTCCAAAAGGCCTATAGCCTTCCGTCTCATTTTAAACTGCGATTTCAAACAGGTACCTGAACAGTGAATGATAGTAAAAAAGCATCAATGCATGTGTATTGTCCTCCTCTTTCCATGGATAGAGTGACTTGCACATGCAAATCATTGAGATTAGGTGGCAGGTGGACTTCTAATTGACAAATTCGAATAAAAAATGTGCCATTTTTAATAGAATGTATTGGACATTAAAGAACGTTACAATTACATTTCAATGGCCTGATGCATTTTTCCATACTGTTAAGATAGTTTGTAAAACATTCAGTTGTATATATTTCAAACAAAAATGAAGATTTACAACTTTTTAGAAATAGTGTTACCAATAGCTTGACCCTTCATTAATGACACCGAGTATGTAAGTGACTTCATGTTCACTCCATGTCCGAACCATGGCAAATGCACAAGTTTGCATAAACTTCATTGAGAGTGTGAGAGCAGGCAGGCATTTGTACTATGAAGTTTTGAGCAGTCGCAGTGAAGGAAAATACTAGTTTTGTGTTGGTGCTGAGTGGACTGCACTCTCACGACCCACTACCGTTTGAGTTTAGAGTTGACACTTTTAAGGCTAGACTGATGGAGAAAGTGAGGACAGAAACGACCCCCATACTCACCATCTACAGCCAGGAGATCTCCAGATCTCACGGCATCATCTCAGATGACCTTCTGAAGCAGATACCAGTCCTGAAGTCCTTCACCACCATTTCTACCGCCAGAGACACAAGACCTTGCCGCGCCTTCCTGCTAGCAGAATCCAGATCAGCAGTATTCCCAGACAGAAGGTGGCGACCAGTTCCTGCACCGTGTTAGTGACGACATCCTTATTCTCACTTCTGTCAAGGACATGGAACACTTGTGTGCTGCGGATATTGTGTTTTGTAATGGTACATTTCATGCCTGTCCAAAATTGTTTGATCAGATTTATTGTATACATGCAGACGTGTTTGGTCGTATGTTTCCATTTGTTTATTGCTTGTTGTCCAATAGAACAAAAGGTGTTAAGTTAACATATTTCAGTACTTGTGTGATGTAGCTCGTAGGCGAGTCTTAGAGTTTGCTCCACCTATGATCCAGCACTCCTTTAATATGCTTAATCACATTGCACATAAAAAAATACATCCTCATAACAATTGTGATATGTAATGTGATTGTCATTGATACCTATCAGTATATTATATCGTGCTAATGAAGATATTGCCCCTGTTATGATCTGAATAAAATAATGAGGAAACATTTTTTGTTTTGTTAAATACGATAACCTATGTGTTTACTAACCCCTGTAGACCAACCTGTGTTGTAGTCAGTCTAGATGTGTTTACTAACCCTGTAGACCAACCTGTGTTTACTAACCCTGTAGACCAACCTGTGTTGTAGTCAGTCTAGATGTGTTTACTAACCCTGTAGACCAACCTGTGTTGTAGTCGGTCTAGATGTGTTTACTAACCCTGTAGACCAACCTGTGTTGTAGTCAGTCTAGATGTGTTTACTAACCCTGTAGACCAACCTGTGTTGTAGTCAGTCTAGATGTGTTTACTAACCTTGTAGACCAACCTGTGTTGTAGTCAGTCTAGATGTGTTTACTAACCCTGTAGACCAACCTGTGTTTACTAACCCTGTAGACCAACCTGTGTTGTAGTCAGTCTAGATGTGTTTACTAACCCTGTAGACCAACCTGTGTTGTAGTCGGTCTAGATGTGTTTACTAACCCTGTAGACCAACCTGTGTTGTAGTCAGTCTAGATGTGTTTACTAACCCTGTAGACCAACCTGTGTTGTAGTCAGTCTAGATGTGTTTACTAACCCTGTAGACCAACCTGTGTTGTAGTCAGTCTAGATGTGTTTACTAACCCTGTAGACCAACCTGTGTTGTAGTCAGTCTAGATGTGTTTACTAACCCTGTAGACCAACCTGTGTTGTAGTCAGTCTAGATGTGTTTACTTGTACTAACCCTGTAGACCAACCTGTGTTGTAGTCAGTCTAGATGTGTTTACTAACCCTGTAGACCAACCTGTGTTGTAGTCAGTCTAGATGTGTTTACTAACCCTGTAGACCAACCTGTGTTGTAGTCAGTCTAGATGTGTTTACTAACCCTGTAGACCAACCTGTGTTGTAGTCAGTCTAGATGTGTTTACTAACCTTGTAGACCAACCTGTGTTGTAGTCAGTCTAGATGTGTTTACTAACCTTGTAGACCAACCTGTGTTGTAGTCGGTCTAGATGTGTTTACTAACCTTGTAGACTTGTAGATGATGTTTTTACTAACCTTGTAGACCAACCTGTGTTGTAGTCAGTCTGGATGTGTTTACCAACCTTGTTGTAGTCGGTCTAGATGTGTTTACCAACCTTGTAGACCAACCTGTGTTGTAGTCAGTCTAGATGTGTTTACCAACCTTGTAGACCAACCTGTGTTTTAGTTGGTCTGGATGAACATGTTTACTGACACTAGCCCAACTTGTTTTGTAGTTGGTCTGGATGAACCCTGTGGAGTATGAATACAAGGTTTCCTGGGACACCAGTATGTGTGTCAGCAGCTCAGCTGGGGCAGAAGTTCGCAGACTAATGGCAAAAGCTTTCAAAGGTTCTCTGACCCCTGCACATCAGCAACAGATTTTGGTGGAGCTGGACAGAGACTCCAAGCTGGTCTACCATATAGGACTCACCCCTGGAAAGGTTAGCACCATATATACCATATAGTCCGTCCCTTGCCTGGCAGTGTCACATACAGCTTGGTATCCAGAGCTGTGTCAGCAACTGAAAGGCTTATATTCAAGTGAGTGCTGTCCATTGTCTTTCTGTTTTCTTAAATCCTGTAAGGAGCATGAAAGGTAAACTTCAATTTTTAATTAATCATTAAGAGATGGCTTTTCATGTTGTCTTGTTAGTGTCCAAGCGTATATTTGTTAAGATCAGTTGGGAGATGTGTTTGCTTCAGTGGAATCTGCAACATATGACTGAAGAAAGTATCACAACACTGCTAAGTTTTATAGTATTAATATGCCATAGCCATTGCACAGGAAATTATCCAAACCTCAAGTTCACTTACTATCTGAATAATGTGACATTCAGGAATAATTACATGGGAAATGTAAATGCAAAAAGATTTTATGCATAGAAGCCAAAGATTTACTCATTTTGCATTTCTGATAATTATGGTCATATGACGTTAACAAGTGTGCTCATTTTTAATATTCAGACTTACAATCCTCAAGAAATCACATCAGTATCAATGACCTTGCTCTAAGGTATTTTGTGTGAATATGCAGTGTTTCTGCAGCACCAAACAGGAACTCAGCCAACAGTTATATGCAAAAGAAATCGCCTTTTGTTCAACCAGTGGTCCCTTCCTTATGACCTTAAGTTCCAGTGACGTCAAGCTTGACAACAAACCTAGTCCTTAACGTCATTAGTTTGCTGATGTTTTCTGACCAATCAGTTGAATGTCAAAGGATGACAACCCACATCTCTTGCAATAGCCCTCAATGACATGCCAGCATTCAACATACCAATAACTTGCTTATCAACAGGAAAATCAGTTGACTTTCCGAGTTACTGAGCTGTAAGAAACTTGATATTTGCCTTATGATGTGTACACATATTGTACATGATGCTTTCCTTTGATAGCATGTACATAGCTAAAATCAATGTATTGTGCAAAAAAATCATACTAATAAACAATTATGCTTTATGGAGGTTAAAAATCATAGGTGATAAGATACTTTTTTCCATGTGAATATTTTGTAATACACATTTTTAGTAATGTACATATTCTAGTACTTTTTTTAAGGGAGAGCCGAACCTTCCAGGATTCAAACCCAGCTGAAAGCGACAGTGGCCGAGTGGAATGGATCGCTGACTTTGTGTGCTGGAGATTAGATGTGTTTCACTCTGAGACTGTGGGTTTGAATCCCAGAAGGTTCTTCTACCCCTAAAAAAAGTACTAGATTCTGTACTTTACTGAGAAAGTGTAATCTCAAATATAACATATGTTGCATTTGACCACTTTCTAAAAGGAATTGTGTATTTATGTTTAATGCAAGGGTAACAGTATGTTCCTGGCGGCCACAGCAGCCTTGTTTCGTCGAAACGTAGTGAAACGGAGACAAAACAGGATGGACATGAGATAACATGGGGGACTGAATAAGCAAACATGACAGTCTGTGATTACTGTGGATGACGTGCCAGATTTTTAAACTGTTCAAAACTTTGCCACGGCAGTCATGGTACAAATGAGAAATTTAGTAGGCTGTAGTAAAACGGGTGGAACGCAACAAAACGTGACAGCACATAATAGGCTGTAACAAAACTTGTAGATGGTCCGTAGTGGGACGGGAGGCATGTGTAATACCTGGCATCTCACAGTCTGTTCACGATTTGTCTTGTTCATCCACGTTTATTTGACGTTTTGTCACGGTTGTTTCACCCTTGCTGCCCGTTTTGTCCCGGTCCTCACGGCAAGCTAGGTTGCATGGTAGCTGATTCGTCCCGTTCTATCACGACGCATCCAGATGTGTGATGGTTTACAGGACCAGTGAGAAACAGCATGTTGCTTTCTACTACAGTCTGATTTGGTGAACGTGGTCTGAAAGGGCGTATGATCCAAGGACTCGATGTATGCCCCCAACAAACATGCAAACACAAATCTCCTTCATCTTGGGGGTTTATGCTGCTCTTGTCGCTGAGGATACAATGGCTGCTATTGCTAGGGAGGTCTTATTTTTATACCCTGGACACAAACGTGCTCCAAAGCTGGCCCGAATACCGTGATAGACCATGAGAAATCTTAGCAGGACCTAACAAAACTTTACTGGAGGAAAAAAATGGTCAAAATCCCACGGCGCACTACATTTCTGGGAAACAGGGCTGCCGTGGCCGCTGGGAAGATAGTGTAACCCTAGCATAACAGTCTCTTATGGTGTGAAGATATCATGTTTAACTTTCTGTTATACATAACGGCTGATGAAATGACTTCCTGAAGTATGTTATGATGTGTACCTCTCAATGTCAGCACGTTGTTGACAGGTAAGCTGCAGAGCCCTTGTAACTGTTTCTGATAAACTGATTCATCTAACACATGATGTGATTTGGCATTTCAGCTGCCAGATCTAGTTGAAAACAATCCCCTAGTTGCCATTGAAGCTTTGCTGAAGTTGATGCCTTCTAACCAAATAACAGAGTAAGTTTACCCACTTTTTATTCTGTTGAAAGGAAGCAGTACCACGTCACTCCAGCCATAGTTAATCAAGAGCACAAGTGCCAATATGAATGGCTGCACAGAGTTGCTTCCCTTGTGTTCAAATACCAATTTTACACGTTTGTTTCTCAGCTTGGCAGCATTATATCCTTGCCTATGAGCTTCACAAAAGTGGTAGAATGCTGAGACCAGCAGCACATCCAGCTTCTCTTCCACACTAAGCTGACATGCTGTAATATAACTGCAATACTGTTTAAAGTGGCATCAAACCCTACTCACTCACTCACTCACATTCTGTTAAAGGAATGTATACCACAGTGACACCAAACAAAAACCCTTTTTGTATGTAAATGAACAGATAAAACTCATTTAATGTCAGACTTCAGCAGCAGCGAACCAAACAGGATGTAATTATCCAAGTTCTGACTCACAGTACACTTACAGATAAGTGAACCTACATGAGTGTCAATTAAAATCAGGGCCTACCTTTAGAATGCAGCAACACAAACTTTAAAAATACGTCATAATACCCTTATACGTAATGTAATGTGATTTTGTTCGAAAGCACGTTCTCGAAACAATGCCCTATGACGCCTGCATGGCAACACGGTGGTCTAGCTCAGTGAGTGCGTTATAAGCTCCGCTCACTGGTCTTTCATCTCTACGAGCTATGTCATTGCATAAGCCCAACAATGTTGAGAGTTTCCAGAAGTTGTATACCGGCGGATGCGCAATGTTTTGCAAGCACCAGTTTGAAATATTTTTCTTTTTTCACTAATACGCTAATATTTATTTGCATTACGGGGTGCTGATGTGTTATGTTTTGTGTGTTATTGTATTTTGTATTTTTTAAATTTACATATATATTTTTGTCATTCAGTAATTTGCACCATTACATAGAAAGTTTTTTATTAGTATTTTATTTTTCGAAGTGGTAATAATGCATTACACTGGACACGTCAGTCATGTTTGTGCCGGTTCGGTCAATGCATTCTATTTATTAGGATTAATTCAAGGGGTTAGGGTTAGGGGTTAGGGTTAGGTACATGTCCGGTGTAATACGTGAGTACCATTTGTTGTTTTTCCTTTTGCATTTTAATACTGCCGGTTCGGTCAATGCATTCTATTTATTAGGATAATTTCAAGGGATTAGGGTTAGGGCTGAGGGTTTAGGGTTTAGGGTTAGGGTTAGGGACCTAATCCAATACCACTGCATTTTAATACTTTTTTTTTTCACACAAAAACGGGAAACCAAAAACGTCAAAAGTACACTATGAAATGGTTTAATGTAGAAATTTTGGGCTAATGGAAATTGGCCTGGAATTTGCACTGAAGCCTTTTTCACACACAACATTTGTTCAGTAATGATTCGAAGGCTAACTCACCCTTGTGCCGTCACTACACATGCTCATGTCTCCCTCGTTCCTTAGTGCGATCCACATTATCCTTACAGTGTTCCCTACATCACTTTTCTGTCACAAAATCACCGATTTATATAAAAGCGGCGTCATTCATGCATGCACCGTGAAATCTACATGTGATGCCTGACGTCAACAACCCTTTTCAGTTTGAGGCATATCTGCTCATTCCACGCCACACGTTATCTTGTAGATTACGGAATGGGACGAGTGTGCCAAATGGCATTGGGTCCATTCGGCAATTGTCCGTAAATTAAAATCACGAGACACCAAGTCTACCCGTAACCTTCGCAATTGTCCGTGACCTATTCGACTCTTTCTGTTCATTTCCGTGACGTCACAGGAATGACTCGATAAATTTGCACATTGTGCAACAGTGTGGACGTAGCTCAGTCAGTTAGCTGTCGAGCTAACAATCCGATGGTCACGGGTTCGCGTCCGATGGGTTCTCACAAACTGGTTTGCTTGTCTTAATGACACGTGACCTACGGCAGAGATCGTCCTCACGAGAGAAGTATTCTAAAGGTGCTCCAAAATCAGTTGTGACATTAATACACCAATAAGTGATGCAACAACTTTTTCACAGTTGCAGCAATCATTTCCATATGTTAAGTTATGTTGTCAAAATATATTTCTGGTTTAATCATGATCACTAAACCTATACTGTACCAGTTTCAGCAGTATAAGATTATTTGACACTCTTTTACTATGTATTCTAACTCACTACACAGGAAGCTCAACATCTTGACTTGCATTGCTTTACTTCATTGTTGGAGTCTTACAACACTATAATGTTGCTTAATCTGTACTACTGTTTTTTTTAATCAATGTGGACTCATGCTTTACATCTGCTCTGCATTTTTCTTTTGGCAGGTATTTTTCAGTGCTTGTGAATATGGAGATGTCACTTCACTCCATGGAGGTTGTCAACAGGCTAACAACAGTGAGTTCCTTTCTCTCCAGTGGCATGGAATCCATTGATTCTACATATGGTCAACTTTCTTGGCAAATCTTACCCGGTTGGATGGGTGGGTGGGTGGCGTGGGGTGTAGGGCAGGGACGGGTCCAAATTTCCTACAGGGTACCTGACCCCCCATTACCCGACCCAACCCGGGTACCCGTCATAACACTAATTGTGAGTTATTCCCCTTCAATAAAATCAGTTATGGCCGAGATTAAGAGCGGCGTCTGGAAATATTTTGAATCCGTCGCATCAGGCACAAAGACAAAATGCATTTTGTGCGCAGTGCAGCTAAGTCACAAAGGAGGGGGTACATCATTCATGTGGAAACATCTGAGCAACAAACATAACTCCGTAACAATCATTGACGTGGAAACATCTGAGCAACAAACATAACTCTGTAACAATCATTGACGTGGAAACATCTGAGCAACAAACATAACTCCATACCAATCATTGACGTGGAAACATCTGAGCAACAAACATAACTCCATACCAATCATTGACGTGGAAACATCTGAGCAACAAACATAACTCCATACCAATCATTGACGTGGAAACATCTGAGCAACAAACATAACTCCATAACAATCATTGACGTGGAAACATCTGAGCAACAAACATAACTCCATACCAATCATTGACGTGGAAACATCTGAGCAACAAACATAACTCCATAACAATCATTGACGTGGAAACATCTGAGCAACAAACATAACTCCATAAAAATCATTGGCGTGGAAACATCTGAGCAACAAACATAACTCTGTAACAATCATTGACGTAGAAACATCTGAGCAACAAGCCACTACAAATGAGATTTGTAGGTCACTTACAGTGTCACCCAGAGAGATGTGAAGTGGTCGTGCATGGTATCACACACTGACATCGTCACCCAGAGAGGCGTGAAGTGGTCATGCATGGTATCACACTGACAGTGTCACCCAGACAGATGTGAAGTGGTCGTGCATGGTATCACACACTGACAGTGTCATCCAGACAGATGTTAAGTGGTCGTGCATGGTATCACACACTGACAGTGTCACCCAGAGAGGCGTGAAGTGGTCGTGCATGGTATCACACACTGACAGTGTCACCCAGAGAGGCGTGAAGTGATCACAAGTGACATGCATGGTATCACACACTGACAGTGTCACCCAGACAGATGTGAAGTGGTCACAGGAGACATGCATGGTATCACACTCTGACAGTTGCAAACCAGTGTTGGATTTTATGAGCACGTTTGAAGGTAATGATGTATTTGATTTCCAGCATGTAGATCTGCCGCCTGAATTCATCCATCTGTATATCTCGAACTGTATATCAACCTGTGAAACCATCAAAGATCGCTACATGCAGAACAGATTGGTCCGCTTGGTGTGCGTGTTCCTCCAGTCTCTCATCCGCAACAAGACAATTGATGTCAGAGTAAGTCTAGACAAAAGGGGGTTGGGAGACTAAAGGGGCAGCTTATTCTAGGGCTCTGTTTGTACCAGGTAGGACTCAAAATGAGTAGTGCAATATACACAGATCTATGTACATGAACATAAAATATATAAACATAGGAAGCTAATAACTTGCAAAAGATATGCATTATGTCGGAAAGTGCACTTAAAACCTCAAAATGAACATTAATAGGCATATAGAGCAAGTTTGTAGACACTTGATCAAGACCAATATAATCACTTACTGACATGTGTTTGTGATATACCATGATTCTGTGCGAGTAGACCAATCATGACAAGCTTAGGTTGTGTGGACTGATCATATTTATGATAAATGTTCATGTGATTGTCTTCATATACTCTACACACCAATACTAACACAGGACATTGATGTGAGGGCGAGTCTAGATATACTCTACACCCAATACTAACACAGGGTGAGTCTAGATATACCCTACACCCAATACTAACACAGGGTGAGTCTAGATATACTCTACACCCAGTACTAACACAGGGTGAGTCTAGATATACTCTACACCCAATACTAACACAGGGTGAGTCTAGATATACTCTACACCCAGTACTAACACAGGGTGAGTCTAGATATACTCTACACCCAATACTAACACAGGGTGAGTCTAGATATACTCTACACCCAATACTAACACAGGGTGAGTCTAGATATACTCTACACCCAATACTAACACAGGGTGAGTCTAGATATACTCTACACCCAAATACTAACACAGGGTGAGTCTAGATATACTCTACACCCAATACTAACACAGGGTGAGTCTAGATATACTCTACACCCAAATACTAACACAGGGTGAGTCTAGATATACTCTACACCTACCAATACTAACATAGGGTGAGTCAAGATATATACTCTACACACACCAATACTAACACAGTGTGAGTCTAGATATACTCTACACACCAATGTTAACACAGGACATTGATGTCACTATTATCTTTGATGTTTTGGTTAAGAGGTTTGGCAGAATGTTATTTGTTTCTTACAACAGTCTTCTCAAATGGAAAATATATAGTTAATGTTTTAGTTGCCACAGACATGTGGTGTTATAGGAATATGATACTTACATGTGGAGTAGTTTAAACTACTAAGGCACAGACTGAGAGACCATAGGTTCATGTATCAACTACATTGGCATTTCACAAAAGATACTGAAATAGAGAGGGATTTGACACCTGCAATGATGTGTTTAAGCTGCAATAACAACACAAGAAGGAAAATATGGGGTCCTTGAGGGTCAAAGGCCATCGCTGAATCAAGGAGATACATAATGACACAGGCAGTCATGTGCAAAAATATGGCTTTGGCAAAAGATGTTCTAGTTTGAAGCTGTATAGCATTTGGGTCGGCTTGTGGCAAGGCTTTTAATCTGGTTATAGTTGGTGTTATTGAGTAATGATTTCTGGAGCCTTCAAACAATGTCAGTATTTGCAAACTCTTTCCTTGATATTCTATTTACATATTTTAATGGGGTATTTCTAAACAATAGAAAAATATAGCCACATTTCAAGGGTTGTGTAAGCAGTACATACAGCCTTGGAAAGAATGTTGTCAAACAGACAGAAATTCATAGTGGATGTCACTACTTCAAAAATCTGTGTATTGCAGGACATCTTCATTGAAGTACAGGCATTCTGTATTGAATTCAGTCGCATCCGAGAAGCAGCTGCCCTATTCCGATTACTGAAGTCCCTGGACACAGCAGAGCCTCAGCCTCCACCTCCGCCTGCTTCCCGTTGAAAGTCACAGCCCCTTGGCACTCACTCACTAATAAAGTGCATCCACACACAACTGCTGTCACATTTTGCTTTTACTCCATCTAAATGCCAAGTACAGTCCATTCGTCTCCAAATGAGAAGGATAATTGCAAAACAACTAAAAATCTGGAACAGTCAAATGTTAAATGTCAGGAGAGTACAGGACAATTAATACCCTGCACCCAACAGTGTCAGCTGTTTGTTACTTTTGTACTTGTTCCTGACAGTTTCCAGGAAAATCAAGTCCAGTGTGCACTTAAACTGCATTCAGGAAATAAGTACTTGTCACCAAGACTCTTAAAGTTGTGTATGATCTTCCAGAAATTTCCAGACAATTCTGGATTAATCTTTGCTGTTTTAGAATATTCCAGACCAAACCTCTAACCAACAAAGCATCTACATACAGTATCTTGCACACCACAGCCCTCTATTGAATCTTGATTAAACAATGTTATACAGCTGGTTCACAGTAAATTACACATACCTATAACGCAGCCCATTCATAGGGTTGCTTTAGCAATATCACAGCGAATTCTAGTCTTGTGGTTAAAGCGTTCGCTCGTCACACTGAAGACACGGGTTTGAATCCCCACATGGGTACAGTGTGTGAAGCCCATTTCTGGTGTCCCCCACTGTGATGTTGCTGGCATATTGCTAAAAGCGGCGTAAAACCAAACTCAGTCAGTTAATCTCAATGATTTGCAAGTGCAAGTCACTCTATCCATGGAAAGTGGAGGACAAGATACATGCATTGATGCTTTTTCATTGTCAATCACTGTTGAGGTATCAGTTTGCATCTTAAAATGAGACGTTTTTTGACAGTTGCTGACAGAGGTCAGACTATAGGCCTTGTGGATTCTGGTCAAACTCAACGGCAGGTTGCTGTCCGATATAATATGAGTCGGGGTGCTATTGGGAAATTGTGCCTGAGATTTCAAGCCAATTGGTGGGCAACCTGCATTTCGTCCACCACTAACACCACATCACAGGCGCGTTTGAGATGGGGTAGACATCATGGCTGCTGGAATCAACGTCAGTGGTCTCGTGTGCTCTTCACAGATGAAAGCAGATTCAATTTGTCCTTCCATGATGGTCGGCAGAGGATTTATGGTCACAATAGAGAGCGAATCACGGATGCAGCTGTGCCCACGCATAACCGATTTGGCGGGTGGTCGGTCATGGTTTGGGCAGGGATATAACTCCTACAGGACGTACTCCACTGCACGTGGTCGACGGTAATCTTACCGTACAGCGTTATCGGGACGAGATTCTGGCTCCTATACAAGTACCATTCCTCCATGTTATGCATGGCTTTTATGGTCGACCCTCTTTACTGCAACACGACAACGCTAGGCCTCACAGCGCCAGGATTGTCACGGAATTCCTTGGGCACCAGGGTGTATAGCAGATGGAGTGGCCAGCATGCTCGTCAGACCACAACCCAATTGAGCATGCCTGGGATGAACTTGGTTGACGTGGGTATTTGAAGTTGGATAACTTGAATGAGCTCCGATCTTAACACTTTGAAGCATATCTGGGACATGATTGGTCGTCGTGTGGAAAACCTGGCTCATTTGGAAACTGCTTTACACGAGGAATGGCGTTGACTGCTCACATGGAGGTTATACTCGGTATTGACCATGAATCGTGTAAGACACGCAAAATGACATTCACCAATAGATTCAACATTCCAGGACCATACTTGTACAGACATGGTTTTGTATGAAAATCAGTGTGTGTTTTTACAAGTGCAATTATCATCATAAAATCAACATGGATTCCAATCATTTTGTCGTTTTTTAATGAGTCAAAGGATCATACGGGTCAGAAAAACTGTATGTTTTTCCATCGTGGTCACCACGAAACGTTTTATGTACGTGTTGAAAACCTATCATTGCAAAAATACGGGGGGTGTGCTTACTTTAGTTCCTTGTGTATATGTTGGCGCCTATGAAAAACCAATATACTTCAGTCAAAGGGTTGATTTTTCATTGTCAAACTGGATATCATAAAAATAAAAGTGTTATGTACGTGTTGAAAACCTATGATTGCAAAAATACTGGGGGTGCTTTGTTACAGGTTACAAGTTCATTGTGTATATAATGAATTTGAATGGGTGGTCCACGATGACCTATGTGGGAGTGATCACTTCCCTACCATTCTCAAAAACTGTCAACCCTGGTCATGATCCACCTTTATCAAGAAGGAACTTCGCCAGGGCTGATTGGTCATTATATTCTGAGTCAAAATGAAAACTTCACAATTCGTATGTTTCTTACGGCTACAGGAACCAGAAATGAGCTGTTTAGGGGTGGATTGTCGACACAAACCATCCGAAACCGGCTGCGACCTGCTCACCTTTGTGTTCGACTACCATATCGCGGAATCATTTTAACGCCATTACATCGACGTCAGCGGTTGCCGTGGGCCCGACGACACCTCTGGGGTCTTATGATTTATAAACCACATAAAAACCCAGAACTATTTTAAATGGCTCATCCATCAAAGTTGTAAGGGGGCCAAGTTCTTGGGACGTATTTTTGACTCTCATTTGACATTTTACCTCACATTAAATACCTCATAAATATATGCCTGAAGGCACTTGACTTGTTGAAAGTCGTCGCTAATTCAAAGTGGGGGAGGGACCAAACTACCCTCCTTCACTTATACAGATCACTCATCCGCTCGAAAATTGATTACGGCTCAATCGTATATAGTGGGGCCTGTAACAGCAACTTTAAACTATCAGATTGTGTCCATCACCAAGGTCCAAGACTTTCTCATGGATCCTTTAAAACGCGTTTTTTACGATGACGTACACGTCGATCGAGTTCATCTCAAAGGTGTTCTATCGGATTTAGATCTGGTGTACGGGAAGGCCATGGCATGACACTGACCTTAGAATTGGCAAGATAGGGGCCCGTGACGCTTGATGTATATGTGAAATAGCGTTGTCATGTTGGAACAACTTCCTGTCGGTCCATAGTCGGAAGCATGTGACTTGCAAGGACTTCTTTGATGTACCGATTTGCTGTCAAATTCCCCTGAAGCACCACCAAATTCAGATCTTAGTGTGCTGGACATCCAACCCCACACCATGACACTTTCTCCACAGACTCTGTCGACCTGTCCAATACAATTGGGGGCAAAACGTTCTTTTCTCGGACGGCATACACGCTGTCTTCCATCTCGTCAGTGAAGAAGAAAACGTAATTCATCACAGAACCAGTACAGACTCGCCTTCAGTTTCTAATGTTCGCAGTTCCGGACTCTACTACGCCACCTCAAGCGATTGCGTCTCAACACGGGGACGACAATTTGCCCTCTTGGTCGAATCCCCATTTCACGCAATCGAATCCTGACAGTTTGGTCGGAAATTCTTCTCAAACCAGGGATGCGTTGTGCAGTATCTACGGCTGTGGCAAGACGATGACGCAAGTGAGCAACCCGGATGTAGCGGTACTGAGCTTGGGTGATAACTCTTGAACGGCCGCTTCTCGGGCGGAATGGGTTTGCAGGTAACGATCCCAAAGGCGAAATATTTAGCTCTAATGAACTTTGAAATGTCGGGCAACTGCAGACTGCGACTCTCCAGCAACAAGGCGGTCCTATATGGCGATGGTTCATTGGCGGCATTCAGTCGTGACATGATAATTTCCTCTTTTCCAGTCAAAAACGAATGCGAAAATTAAAAACAAAGTTTGCCTTTTTTATAGTGATCGATACCGGATGCTTTTCCGCTTACATGTGCGTGCATTTTGCTTTGCATGTTTTCTTCGTGAAGTCTTGGCAAGCATTTCCACAAGCGCTTCCAAAACAAGGGGAAACGGTAAAACAATTTGGCGCTGAAGCTGTTCACAATCGCACAACGATGACGTTTTGGAAAGCAATAGTATATTTGTATTGTTTTTGCTGCGGCTAGATGAGTCCAATATTCCCGAAATCACCTATGCGTTTCTTTTTGTAAAGAGTGTATATGTACTCGTAACATAAAGAATATCAAGAAAGGTTCGGCCTGGGGGACAAAAATATTATATGCGTAAAGTGTTTGACATTACATAGTGGACAAGTAATTGTTATTGACACAAACGGAATTGTTGGACTGAGTTGCACTGTGCAAATACTGCAATGGCTGTGATTGAGGCATATTTAAAGGTCACATGCAACGTAAAACACAACTATGCAGATTCTGATAACTTTCGGTATGGACTTACAGATATAAATCATCAAACATGCAAATTCAACTTATAAAGTAATAACGCGATGAAAACCCCCAGCAAAATCGGATTAAAACGATTCACTAATTTCACCCCAGCGCAGAGTGATTAGGTTCGCGCGGCTTGAACCGGGAAGGTGGCTTATAAAAAGACAGCAAGTGATGCGTGCAAGGATTATCGCTGTGGTCGAAGATGTTTCTTGTAATTACAAGCATCTTTGGTTTGCAGTAATAAAAATACACTGGTTCCATACTTTTTCTTATATGTTTTGACATCTTGCTTTTTGGGGGTTGGCAGATTTGCAAACCAAGTTTTCAAGAAAGTGTAGTATTAGAAATACTAATTTCTTTGTAAATAATATTGCTCAGCTTGAAAACTGAAATGGTTTAATACATATCTATGGAAACAGAGAAAAATATGTTGATTGTGGTAAGCAGTCTGTCACAGACAAAACTCAATGTCTGTTTTACTGACACCTATGTGTCTGCCTGCCTGTCTGCTAATGACAATATGCAATACACAACTTCGATCACTGACCACATGCAATTTGAACTTAACACCTATCAGGCTATACACCATAAACAAAACGCATTGATTTATGACTTGTGCTCACGAGTTCGGTCTCTGTCACATTATGTAATTACACAGACAGGCAGGTGTGATACGTGTACACACTTCATGTTATGTCTGTTGATTGCAAAATGTTATACACAAAAAATGAGCATGTATGTACAAAACCCAACATCTCTCCACACACACACACACAATGAGCCGTGAGGGAATCGGCAAATGAACCAGCCAATGAAAGACTTCGTTA